TCTCCCTTCAGTGGGCTCCCTGGAGGTCCCTTCCATTGGTGGAGGACCTGCTGACTGTGAGACCTCTGAAGTTACACTCTATTGGCCAGGCACCTGGCATGGTCCTGGGCCCTGAAACTTACGGTGGGGATTTCGCCCCAAATTTCTTTGTTACTTTATAGGACAGAGTCGAAATCTGCAAAAAGATCCCTTCCAGCTCCCCCAGCACTCCCCAAGCAAACTGCCTCCTCATCCTGACCTGATAACCCCTCCTGAGGGATGTCCTTCGGGCACTCTAACCTTAATGTGTCCAAGACCGATGTGTTATCTTTACCCCTGATAGCACTTTCTCTTTAGCTGTGGCTGCCACCACCTGCAGAGCGGGGAAGAGTCTCCACAGTCTGTCCACCATTCCAGCCACACCTCCAAGACAGCCCCAGCCAGGGCCTCTGGTTGCCCACGCATGCCCTGCTCTCTCCATCATGCCCCTGTTCCTAAACCTGGCCCATCCCAGCCCCTGTCAGTTTCCTGGCTTTTCCTTGCCCTTCGCCTTTGCTTTCTCATCCTTCTCCCTGGAGGCTGTGGTCGCTTTCCTTTTCACTCTGTATTCAAACCCCTACTCGTCCCTGAAGAGGCAGCTTCTCCCCCAACCTCCTCCATGAAGCCTCTCTACGCTCCCTGGTATTCTATGGATTTTTTTTTTTTTTTGGTACCGGGAATCGAACTCAGAACCTTGCACTTGCCAGGCAGGTGCTTGTGCCATTGAGCTATATCCCCAGCCCTCTATGCTCCCTGGAACTGATCACTTCCCTTTCCCCACTATCCATCTGTACTGAATATTCCTCAGCCATGGGCCAGAATTCTGTGTTGGGCCTGTTTGTTTACACTTGTCTTTTCAGCTAGGCAGGGAGCTCTAAGGGGAAGGGATCCTGTATGATTCATTTTTAAATTCCTAGCTTGTAAAACAGGACTTGGCATACATTCTTATGTCCACAAAGAGGGCAGGGGAGGGTTTGCATGAATGAATGTGAATGTGCTCTTAAACTGTAAGTGGACATACACACGTAAGTCATCCCAGCTCCGGTGGCATCCCAAGGTAACACATGGCAGGCGACCACTTTCTGGTAAAGATGGAGGGATTGGAAAAATGGGAAAAGACACTTTCTCCAAAACAAAGCCTAAAAATAAAAATCAGGGCTAGGAATGTGGAAGTGCTAACAACAGAAACTAGACCTAAAACAGTCACCTTAAAACCTCTTGGTGAATTTTCAAATATGAGCAACAAGACTTAGGAACAGAAGCTTTCTTGTTTTATTCTGCTCTACGCCTGTCTACAAGTCAGAGGAGAATGAAAGGGTAGAAAGACTACACAGTCTTTAATCAACAGGCATTATAACTATCAATAGCTATCTTTCCTTCTGCTCTGGATTATCTTTATTATCATGCTAGCGGGTCATAGCATTTTAAACACGATTTCAGGGCTGGGGATATAGCTCAGCGGTACAGCACCTGCCTGGCAAGCATGAGGTTGTGCGTTCCATTCCCGGTACCAAAAAAGAGAAATATATCTCCTATATGTGATTTCAAGGGACGAATGGGAGATAGAGGAGCAATTAACTAAATTCTTTTGGGTCATTCTGTAGAAGTAAGGTAAAATACCAAGGGCACTGAACCTGCCGGCTACCCTACTAATCTCTCTAGAACTTCTTAACATCCTTTATATCTAGACTAGGGCTTCTCAGGCTGTCTGTGGGGAGCACTGTGTGGGTGTCTGTTTTCTTCCACCCTGTCACACCCTTGTGCTTTATGAATATAGTAAGAAAATGAATTACTAGGAAAATTCATCAGGAAAGACTAAGACATACCCAATACAGGACCAGACTTATTTCTAGACTCCGTAGGTAGTTCCTTGTTCCGTTGAACAAGTATAAAAGTTTATGTAGTTACCTCATTGCAAATCAGAAACAGTTCACACACTGATTCCTGTCTATTTACCACAATAGCACCCATCTGGACTTACTTGGTCATCTTCATAACAGACTGTCCCAGCCATGGACAGTTAAAGAGAGGAGAACACTGACGTACAGCTTTTATAACAGTGGAGATATTCAGGGCATAAGTTAATTAGAATACAAAAAGTTCGAAGGAAATCTAAAATCACAAAATGGAAAATGATTCAAATGGTAAAAAGCGCTTCTTTTGTGTGCATCTCCCTGCTCTCTCCTGGAGGTAGAGTGAGTTCTTTAATCCTCTTAGACAATAACTGTTTGCGGTGCAAAAGTTTTAAATTGGTCCTTCTTTGTTAACAGTAGGGGAGCCAGAGGTGCTGACATCCAGCCAATGACATTAATAAGCAGCGTGACAGGCTCTAATAAATTTCATCAGGATCCTGACTCTGTCATTTTGAGCACAGAATGAACTATTATTATCACAGAGCTTCAAACCTCTCATTTTAGCTCCAGATGATTACAGCTGCTAGTGCAGCCCTTGCTAAAGTAGATTTTAGTAACTGGTTTGGGGTTAAAGTATCATATTTAAAAGACTTAATTATGATCAATGTGGGGAACCGGTTGTAGCCGTATGGCTTTGATGTGTTTCTAGAGTGACCGGCAAAAATGTGGACTCCTAATGATCTATCTTCTCAACAATTTGAGAAAACAAGCAGCTCTTAAAATCCAATGTCTCTACCATGGACCCTGAGGGTTTTGAAAGCCTTTCAATTGGAGATGGGCCATTATTTTTTGGAAACTGGCCATGGTTCTTTGTCTCTAACCCCAGATGAAATTTTTCCAGCCCCTTCACTAAATCTTTCTTTCACATAAAGAATTTAGTCTCAAGTTTCTGTGAGTGAGCAAGCTTCATATTCAAAGTGAGGAAAGAGGTTGTTAATTCTCCCTTTAGATCCTCTGGAACCAGCTGAGCGAATCTGGCACCCATACCTCACCTCAGCCCCACTTCTTCCCACCTCTGCTGGTGTGGGTCATGCCAGTCCGTATTCTCTGGTTTTACTGTCTTAATTTTGCATACAACGTGTTCTGTTAAAATGTGCGGCAAAGTATTAAGCTATTATCAAATGCAATCACCCATTGAGAATTCAGTACCCGTCTATCCCTTTGTACCATGTGTACCATTTTACCAAAGTATGGATAGTTATCTTTAATTTGTTGAGGAATTGCAGGTTTGTGTTTTGTTATTGGTGTCGGTGTTGGGTTTTTTTTTTGGGGGGGGGATTTGTTCTCTTTTATTTTGCCTTTTTTTTTTGCTTGTGGAACTAAAGATTAAACCCAAGACCTTCATTCCAAGCTACATCCCTAGCCCTTTTTTTTTTTTTTTTTTAATTTTGAGACATGCTCTTACTAAATTTTAACTAAGTTGCCCATGCTGGAAGGTACAGGTTTTATGTGTTGATCAGAATGGAATATTCAGTTCTAGTTTTCATTAGCTTTTGTTGGCTGGGCATTAACTCTCTGTGCTCTCAGGTATTTGATCTCCTGGTAATTGTTCCATTTCTGGCAGTAAGGAGGAAAGGGCTCGCTATCGGGGGGCTTTTTAATGCAAACTTCACTTAAGCCTTGCAAATCTAATTTATTGAGATGACCACTTTCTTAAAAAAGGAAAGCTGTTACCAAGAAACCTTTAAAAAAGTTGATCAACACTGATTCATACATAATAATGATTTTACTATTAAAGAACTAGAATGGTAACTTACTTGACACCAACAGTAATATGTGCTTTTTAAGAAAGTTAATGATAGCCAGACATGGTGGTGCAAGCCTGGAATCCCAGTACTTGGGAGGCTGAGGCAGGAGGATCTTTGTGAGTTTAAGACCAGCCTGGGCTACAAAGTGAGCTCAAGGCCAGCCAGAACTGCATAGAGAGACCCTGTCTCAAAAAGACCACCAAAAAAAAAAAAAAAGATAGAAAGAAAGTTAATGATGAATCCTTTGCCTTTAACTGAAGGGATAAAGAGACATGAGAGAATGAATGGGGATGATGAAAAGCTCTAAGAAATAATTAACTGATGGTCTTAAATCTCAGCTTCTCCTGCTAGTTGCACCTGAAGACCGTTGTGTTTGCTCTCGGACAGTGCCATGGGGCTGTGGGGCCGGGCTCGTGGTGTGGGTGACTTTCCAGGCGGCTGCTTCCCCTGCACGCGGCAGGTCACATGTTGTGCTTGGGAGGAAGCCATGCTGCACTGTTCCACCCCAGAGCAGGGAACTGTATTTATTTTTTATTGTACGTTATTTCAGCTGTTTTCACTTTTTTCTTTATTGTTTTCTTGCCTCCTGCAGAGTTCTTTCTCAAGCCTTGCTGGGTGAGGGGAACACTCAGTCTTGAACTCTTCGGTGCACAGGCGGCGGAAAACAGTTTTCCCCTTTCTCAGTGGTTCAGAGAGCGTCTTAGCCCCGTTGGTTGAATCCCGTGTGGGTCTGAACCTGTGTGGGAATTGTTTCTATGTTAAAACATATAAAATCATTTCAGAATTTTCCCCTGGCTCATAAATATATCCTATCACATAGAATAAGCGAATTATGTTCTTATTTTTTAATACTGTTTAATAAGTTAGTATTTGAAGGGTAATTTGGTTCTATACTTAAACAACTTTTTGACTTACAGGTTATGCTTAAACTGTCACAGTTCAGAAATTTTATTTCTGACTTCCAACTATACAAATTTGGGAATCTCTTTTTATGACATGAATCAGTCAAGGGAACAGGTTATGTTAAGCCAAAACTTTGCTGTTACCGGTAACTGTTAGCAAATTTCAAGGAAAGTGTTAATATATTTGAGGGGCCGATGTGCTTATGTATACATTCTCTCCCTTTGGTGAAACTCCATGTTCTATAAATAGGTTAAGTGTTATCATCATTAGTGAGAGAGCAACTCGACATTCTCTTGGTTAATGAGCACATCAGTTTCATAATTACTTGAAATAGATATGAACAATTCATCTTGCATAATTAAAGGTGACTTGGAAAAGGTCAGGAGTGATTAAAGAGTCCTTCTCATTGATTTCACAGGATTACCTGGACTGTATCAGAGACCAAACAAAACTTCCCCTGGGGACTGAAGATAGATGTGCCCTTTTTGGAAATATACAAGATATCTACCACTTCAATAGGTAAGTAGGTACTCAAAAGGTTGTTCTACACAGGAACTATATGAATTTTTCTTGAATATAGCCTAGGAAAGCTTTGCCTATAGCCCTGGATAAAGCCTTCTATACTTTTATGGGCCATTATGTTGTGGAGTTTTTTGGCTAGAAACATCCCTGTTTCTTATGTGATTATTACAGTTATTCAAAAGTCTATCGCTCTGTGTTTGTCCTGGGAGAGCACTGACATTTGTATTCCTCAGGAGGACGTGAATAGGACATCAAGAAACACACATTTGCCTGGTCTCCAGCATCCTCCTATGCTGGATTTCCTATACATTTTCTTTACATGCAGTAAATCCTTTAAATTATAGCATAGACTTTAATTCAGTTTAATTAATCATTTCAAATAATCTAATTCAAACATGTATTAAGTATGTAGCAGACATTGTTTCTCTGGTGTGAGAAACCAAAAGTGTAAATAAGGACCAAAATGTATTTTGAAATAGGAAGAAAATGTTCAGATGGGGAGGGGAACAAGAGAGAGGAGAAGGGGAAAAGAAATAAAGGAAAAGTAAAAAAAAAAAAAAATGAGAAAAGAATTAAAACATGGAAACAAAGCTTTTAACTGGGGAAGGGAGAAGGGGTTGAAGGGGGAAGGTAGGGAAATGAGGGAAAAAAACATGTTTTTTGTAGCTTTTGGATATTATCTTTAAAATGGCTTTTTTTGGTTGTTTAAAAAAAAACAAATGGACATAGTGGTGTCTAATATGAATCTTAATAATTCAGTACACTGGAATGAGGGAAAAGAAGGAAAAGAGAAAAGACAGAAGGGGAAATTATGTAAGTATGTATATCCAGGATAGCTAACATAGTTGTACTACTGACTTCTATCGCTTTACTGAAAGGAACAGTTAATGATTAATTACTTGATCAATCTTGCATGCTCTGTTTGTTTTCCTGAGAAACCGCTTTGAAGATATCAATACATAATACAACAGCTATTGTTAATTTCCTACCACTTTGTCTGCAATTCAGTATTGCTTTTATTGTTCTTATGCTATTTTGTAAATGGATGTCTGTTTGTTAATATGTTTTCCTTTCAGTTTTAAAATAAATTTTAAAAAGAAAAAAATAATTCAATACATTGTGTGTTGTTATAGATGCACTTCATGCATTTGTGTGAAATAAAGAAATGTTTTCTTTAAAAAATATTATCAGATGATAAGTATCAGGCTAGAAAATGATACTAGGAAACAAGACAGGGAGATAAACAGGATTGGAGCAAGTTATATTGTGAAGCTGCTGAAGGCAAATTAATAGGCAATTTAAAAGCGCAGATAGGGGCTGGGGATTTAGCTCAGCGGCAAAGTGCCTGCCTGGCAAGCGCAAGGTCGTGAGTTCGGTTCCCGGTACCGGAGGAAAACCAAAAAAAAAAAAAAAAACAAAAACAAAAAAAAGCGCGGATAACAGTTCAACCTATGTGGGTTTGCATCCCAGCTGTGCCAAGTCCTGTCCTTGGGTGAATCTTTAAACCAAATGAGATTACTAAATCTGTCACTTCTATCTTTGTTCCAATCTTGCTTTCTCAACAAGGCTTGCCCAGCACACACACACACACACACACACACACACATCTCACCTCCTCCACTTTTTCCTTTTCTTATAGCACCCATCAATTTCTAACATACTCTTGAGCTTTGAGATTATTTCCGCTGTTCCTTTCCCCACCCATCTCACAGAACACAGGGATCTCTCTGTCTGCTTTGTTACTGCCCGAGGGTCTAAAACAGCTCTTTTGGCCCATAGGATCATTCAAACTTTTATAGAATGAATGAATGGAAATCTGCATCTTACGGTGTTGTGAAGCCTCAGTAAGCTGAATATATCTAACACGTCAGGTCAGTGCCAGCAAGCACTAAAATGTGACCAGTGGTGATGTAGCTTTGCTGCCCTGAAATGCCATTATAATGGAGAACCTAGAACCTGCGTGTTCATTAGCAAAGTGTTGGTGTTAACACAGGCCCCGTTTAACTGTTTCTGATGATAAAATCCCGTAAGTGTGGCTTCTCTTCCCAGAGCCACAAAGGGCACTCTGGTCTAAGAAGAGAGAGGGGCTAGAGGGGCACTGGCCCAGCTCTCCCGTGCTTTGTCCGCTGGTGGTAACAGATAGTTACACCATGCTTCCTCCATGCCGGAGGCCCTGGAGCTTTAGACGGTCATCACTTCAGATGCACCATCTGGGGCTCACAGGCTCTGGGCCCCGGCACTCAGCTATGCGCCCTCCCGCCAGAGCAGAGCCTGACCTCTCAAGCCATGAGTTTTGAAGCTGTGACTGACTCCAGGGCCGCTTTTTACACCGTGGAGTCTAGCTGTTCCTGTGCCTCCTGACTTCCAGGCAGATAAGAATGAGCTCACAAGAGAAACTGAGCCATGGTGCCCAGTCTGCAAAATTTGGATGACTGAGAAGATCTTGACATTCCTGAATGGGTCCTTGGTTCTTCTCTGTTTGGAGTCCCTTGACCCTGAAAGTCAGACCTGTCTAAAATAAACCCAAGGCAGATTGAAGGAAGAGCCTGGTGATGGTGTATATGGGACACATCAGTGTAGTGGCACAATTACAGGGACCGTGTTCATGCCCATCCCGGTGTAGATCACCTTGGTACATTTCCTGTACTCAAATTATCTCATTTACTCCTCTTAACGGCTCTTCAAGGCAGATAGGATGCAATATTGCATATCCTTTCTGTATGTGTGTGGCACTGGGTATTGAACCCAGGGCTCTAGCCTGAACTACATCCCTAGTCTCTCTCTCCCTCTCCCTCGCCCTCTTCCTCTCCCTCTCCCTCGCTCTCTCCCTCCCTCTCTTTTCTCTCTCTCTCTCTCTCTCTCTCTCTCTCTCTCTCTCTCTCTCTCTTTCTTTCTCTGTCTCTGTCTCTGTCTCTCTCTCTCAAGGTCTTGCCATGTAGTTTAGGCTGGCCTTGGACTCACAGCAATCCTCCTGCTTCAGCCTCCAGAGTGCTGGGTTACAGTCACATGCCACTATGCCTGGCCTGTGCTAAATAACTTTAGATGTTATTCTAACTAGAACACTTTTTCTGTTCTTTTAACTAGCTATTACTCTCATCTATAAATCGCTCTTATTTTTATATGTAGATACTGTATCAAACTTTCTAAACTTCTGCATTAGTTCTAATCTTCTGCCTTAGTTCTAATTAGTTTATAGGTCCACTCTGATTTCTTTGTAGACAGTGATGTCTGAAAATGAGAGTTTTGTGCTGCATTTTTCAGTTATACTTTTTGTCTTTTTCTTGTCTTATTGCTTTGGGTGAGCTTTCTCATACAGTGGTGTTTGGATGTATAAAAAATCATAACCAGGTAATTCTACCTGGTAAGGACATCCTCACCTTCCTTTTTACTTTAGCAGAAATACTTTGCCATTAAGTATAGTGTTTGCTGTAAAATTTAGATTAACATTTGTCCTGTTGGTATTTTATTATAAATCTTGTGAATATTGAATTGTATTGACTTCATAGTATAACTTTAGTAAAACATTTCATTTGTATTTATTACTAGCAATTGTTTACAATACATAATAAGTAGATTCATCATGGGGAACTGGAACATCTACATATCACATCTTGATCCTTTTTACTTCCCCTTCCTCTCTCCCTCCCATCTCCCCCATCCTCAGATCTCCTTCCCATCTCAACAAAGTCTGTCTCCCTGTTTCCTAGCATCTATATTTTATTTTGTAAAATAACAATTTAAATTTTTAGATTATGACTAAAATTTATCTTTCATGGCTGGGTAGTCTCCATTATGTATGTACACCACCTTTCCTTTGTCCATTCATTTGTTGACAGGTATGTATACTGCTTCCAAGATTTAACTGTTCGGATTTGTGCTGCTCTGCCTTTAGTAAAGTTAACATACGATTTCACTCCTTCAGTTCCTGGTGTTATGAATTATATTATAGGCATTCTGATCTAGATCATATAAAACATGGCTGGAATAAGTTCTACCTGGTTATGTTTTTTATATCTTTATGCACTTGATTTGTTTTTATATTTTTAAAGAATTTGTTCATGGATGTTCATAAATGAAAGGAGCATATAATTTCTCTCACTGTCATTGTTCAGTTTGGTATACGATTGTTTAAATTGTTATTTTACAAACTCTTCAATCAGGAAATATTTTAGGATACACTTGTGACTTCATTTTTGTTTTCTTTTTTGGTAGCCAAATCCCCCTGCTCTCTCTTTTATAATCCCTGTGCTAGACTAGAAATTTAAGCTGCTAGTTTAGTGTCTGGAATAAATCTCCAAGTGGTTAAGAAAGTGAATTAATCAAAAGAAACTACTTTCCTCATTGGAACTAGCCCCCTAAAATCCCCAAACTTTTTTTTACTGCTAACCAAAAAAGAAATTCCAGCTTTTGTTAATAACATCCCTCTCTTGGAATAGAGAAAAATTATCAAAACTGCAACCTGAATCTTTAAGAATAGAGAATGAGGAAATAAACACCATTCCTCTAAATTGAATTTTTATGTTTTAAATTGTTTCTTAGCAGATTAAAATCATCAAGTCCTCTCCCCTCCTCCAAAGATCAGAGTGAAAATTTCCCATTTCTTTCAGCTCTTTCTCTTTATTCAGTATACCTAAGCTGATCCGTTGCTGTGTGTGAAACACAAGGTCAAGTCCAGCAGTATAGACATGAATAACACCATTGTGTAAGAGCAGCAATAAGTCATACAATCAGGAATGAGCAGAATGCTTTGAGAACTGTGAGGAACATGCGATTTTGTCTGAGGGGGGCTAGTGACACCTTTACAGAATATATATGTGTCTTAAGACAAAAAAAATTCTTTTTTTCCTCATTGAAATGTAATTTAAGAAGTGAATTATGGGATGCATAAAACGTAGTTCTCATACCATCAGAATGTCTCTAGCTTCTGCACAATGGTAGAACTATTTTTTATCCACAGGCTTTGGTCAGCTGGTGTTTTCAGGCCAGTGCTAATGTCTCAGTTGTCCTAATGGAACACTTTCCATTCCCACATGCATGCGGGTCTCTGTGGATACAACAAGTTAAAAGGACCTGGTTAGGCAGTGGGATAAGAAGTGCTGCTTAGAGTTCACTACATGCCGGAAGTTGGCTCCTTCCTGGTCCTTATTCAGTGAAAGACCCAAAGTGAGGAGGCCCATTCCTGATGCTTTTTCAACATAAAGCTATAGGACCTTCGAGGTCATTAAGCCATTTTTACCTTCAAGTTCACAGCAGTGGTCAGAGAAAACTTTACATACAATATGCTCTGTAAAGAGAACAAAATGCCTCTCACTCGCCCACCCAAGCACAAGACCTAAGCTCAAGCAGGAAATCTTAGAATTTTCCTTTTCACAGTCCTACTCAAAAAGGAGAAAATATTTAGAATAATTCCTCAGAGAAGGGAGAAATACCCAGATCCTGAAGGCAAGATGACTCTACTATAGCTCCTGCGTCAAATACAAACTCAATCCCTAAGTCCCTCTTTCCATCCAGTGTGCGTGTACAGTTCACATTAGTTATGTGGATGCAGTGAGAGATCCACAGTCTCCACCTCATGCACCTGTAGTTGTAGAAGGACCCCCCTGTTTCTGGTCCTCACTCAGTATCTTTACTGGCTGATCTTCTGCTTTCTAGAACGCAGCTACACAGCCGAGTCCTTCACATATTTCTTAGAATTAGTTTTCTTCCTACATCCTCATATTCTATTGCTCACCAAACCCCAACCACAGTGGCTTCCTTTCTATACCTCACAGCAGAAGACACTGAGCTCATTCAGCCTGGGACTCTCACCCTCATTTCTATACAATGGAGTGCATAGGATATCCTCCATGAATTTTTTTTTTTTTTTTTTTTGGTTTTTCTCCGGTACCGGGAACCGAACTCATGACCTTGCGCTTGCCAGGCGGGCGCTTTTGCCGCTGAGCTAAATCCCCAGCCCCTCACCCTCATTTCTTAAGTGACTTCCTCTTCACGTCTCCCAGCACTCAAATAGTACCTCCTTAGAGAACTTTCTAGGACCTCCCAGCCCACCTCTACCCCCACCAGGCATCAGTCATTCTGCCACACCACCCTCTTTATTTTCTTCACATCACACGGGGCCATGTGATGATATATTGTTCATTTGTTCACTTCTTAACATTTGTCTCTGTGATCAGACCGTAAGTACATGGCTCTTGAGCAGGGCCTTGGTCCCTTTTCTTTATCCTATAACCTCATTGCTTCTGATGGTGCCTGACAAGGGATCTTTAAATCCTTGCTTGTGCAATGACAAATAGATGAGCAGGACAGCTTTCTTGGGATTGTACCCCCAATGAAAGCTCACACGAGAAGTCCCACTGTTTCCATTTTTATTGGGTTAATCCTATAGTAGAGAAGGGTTTTAAGGAAGGCCGGCCAGGTAATGCCAAAAAGACTTCTAGGAACCACATGGAGGACACTAGGATACAGAATCTGGCCCCTGGCTTCCTTGAGTTCATCGGGCAACATAGCCTTCAACAGATTTGTTTCTAACAGAGTACAGAATTGGGGTTCAGGAGCCTGATTCTGCCCATAGCTATGCCACTAATTATGGGCTGTGTGACCAAGATAAGCTACTTTTCTTTAAGGACCATGGTTTTCTCACCTTCAAGTTAGAATGTGGGACTGGCAGGTGTCTGAGTCCTCTCGTAGGTCTGTGGCTTCCATGAATGTTTCATTCACTTACAAGGGAGGTAGATACACCCAGAGCCTGGGCAGCCAGAGACACTTCTTTCTCCCAGCCAGTCTACTTAGAGGGAAAAATTAGTGCTCAGAGAGAGCATGATGAGCATAAAACTTAGGGCACAGGTAGTTAAATATGATCAAGGAGTATTTCAGTTCAGGTCTACCTCTTTTTTTTTTGGTACCGGGAATCGAACTCAGGACCTTGTGTTTGCCAGGCAGGTACTTATGCTACTGAGCTATAGCCCCGGCCCTCAGTTTAGCTCTAAGAAGGAATGTGATTGGATCTGCTCAAAACTCCTGCTTAAAACTCCAGATTTATACCAAGAGAGTGGACAGAAACCTCCATCCAGAGCACTCTGTCTTCCAGTCATGGAAAACACTCGCTCCAAAATGTTTTTTCTTTGATACTTCTTTTTCTTCCATCTTTTCTCTTAACTCATAGTACGCAGGTCACTATGACCAGATTTGAAATCTCTTTTGATTTAATTGCACGCATCTATGAAAGATAATAATACAAGTGTCACAACCATATTTTACAAACTAAAAATAATCTTACAAAGGAGATGTTTTAGTAAGAATATTGGGAACAGTGTTTGAAACTGGGACTGTCCTAAAAGATCCTTTCCAAGTTCAAGAGAGAGCAGTGGATCTGCAAGCCACTCCGTTGTGGGGCCCTCAGACTCCAACAGACCTGTAAGAGACAATTACCACTCGCTGAGTCTCAGCAGAATACCTGATAAAATTCTGTAAGTGGAATTGCTAGGCCAAAAGGCTATTCTCAGGGTCATAGTTCACATTTTCAAATTGCACTTCAACCCTTTAGATGTTCCTGCTTAAGCAGGTCCCTGCTTCTAAGCATATAGTTGATGTATTTTCATTATTTTTCAGTTTCAGCTATTATTTATTTCTTAATTCCCCCAAACTTTCCTTCCTACCATCTTCTCCAACTACTTTGCAATTTGACCAGGTTCAGTGCCTGAACTTACATCTTCAGATGATGGAAATATTATTGCTCTCCGTTTAGCTGTGTATAGACCATGATTGCCTTTCTTATGAAACTATGTTTTCCCTTAAGATTATCTCTCCCTTCCTACCCCCAACTTTTTCTTTGTTTTCAAAGTACACACCACTAATTTATCCACAAATGATGCACCAGAAGTATAAATCTCACCCCACTGCATTGGAACATCAGGTAGCCACTGGTTGCCTGTCTTTCCTGGTGGCCTCCCTGCTAGGCCTGTGTCCTGCACAGATTCCGCTTCAGGCTGCTAGGCCTGCTCTGCAGTCCCTTTTTGATGCCAGCCTTGGCTTGGCTCCTGGTTTGGACACCCTGCCGCTTAGATCCCATTCCCTACAGGTTTCCTCCTTTGGGAGATTTCTGAGTAAAGGTAATAGGAGCTAAGTTTTCTCTATTTACCCAGTTGGCCCCCGCAAAATGAACCCTGCCTGCCTTGGATACAAAACACTCTGGTCAACACCTAAAGGGTTAAAAATGCTTCCCAGCAGTGGCCATTGAGATTGAGAAGGACAAAACAAGATTTTTGTCATAATACTGTAGAACTGCTTCACCTTTTATTAAATATATAGTATGTTGTGCATTAAAGTGCATACTTAACATGTTAAAATATATATTACTACAGTTTTATGAAGTGCAACTTGAGACTGTGCTAGCATTGACACTGACAGTAGCCTTTGGCCTAGCAATTCCCTTAGAGAATTTTATCCAGAAGATTAGTTGAATAAATTACAGTATTAGCCATACGATGAGATATTATGCAGTTACTTAAAATAATGATACTGCCATTAAAAATTAATACAAATTCACATTTGAGAAGAGAGATTTCCTCTCATAGCAAATACTTATTTCCTTTAAAGCACAATCCCTGTGTGTTTATAATGCTGTATTGTTAGTGTGATTGGGCATTAATTATCTGCCCCTTCCAATGTGTAAGGAGCTCCATGAGACCAGGGACCATGGCTCTTTTTGCTGTCTGATTTGTTCATAGCGGCTTAAACTGTACCAGGTATCTGAGCAGATATCTGAATGAACGGGTATGTGGAGTCAATGACAAACATCAGGAAAACTTTGGTGTTAGGAGCAACTTATCTCTGATGGGAGAGTTAATGGTCCCACTTGTGGTTCAATCCTGACTCCACCATGGCCTGGGGCTAGTTCCTTATTTAAACCTTGGATACAATGATAAGAGACCCAATCATATGATCCCTTATAAGTCCCATTACAAAACTGTAAGTTTTTAAGTTAAAATGTCCTCAACCATGAGACTACGATCTAATATTTCCTGGTTGTTGTTTTTTTCAGTGAACTTCTACAAGATTTAGAAAACTGTGAGAATGATCCAGTGGCCATAGCAGAATGTTTTGTGTCCAAGGTAAGCAGGGTTTTGTTTTTTGTTGCTGTTGTTCTTGTTTTGGCCCAAATTGAGAGTATGGATTGTTTTCATTTTAAAGTTAGACGAAAGGGTTTGTTCCATATTTAAGTTGGATAACAAGCTCTCTGAGGAGGGGGTTGTTATTATTGTTGTTATTTTCAGTAGCAAAGAAAAAATATGTTCTTACTGGGAAGAGAAAGATGCTAACTTAGTAGTTGTCCTAGAACTTGTATAATAACGGAACAGCACTGCTCACCCTTCCCTAGGAATAACTTGAAGAAGATGGTTATAAAAATAAATATATATAACATGCCATTGAACCAGTTATAAAAATCCCGATACTAGCCTGTGCTCCATAATTATCTTTTGAGGCATAAAGAGGTACAGAATTGATTTCCTGCATCTTAAGAATGCACTCTGATTTTCCTACCTTTTCCTTAAACCGCTCTCATTGGTTAGAAAAATACAAAAAATAGATTTGACTTTTAAAGCTTAGTGGCAGCAAGTTCATGCTCTGACCTTGAAAGGAGACACTGCAACATACAGTCCTTGACTATATTATTTTCTCAACACACTACGTGATATTGACAGAATCGTATCTTAAATTTCTTTGAAAAATTCAGCTGGTGTTCAGAAAACCTGTAGCAGAAACTGTTTTGCAGTAAAACTTTGTGTGGTTTCTGCAGTTGTATAAAGGTTTGAAATGAACGAACATTTAAGCAAAGTTCATGATGGTGCTTTGGGACCAACCATGAATGAGCACTTCATTTAGAGCCCTGGATTCCAATGTGAATTTGGGATGTTTTTCCAGGCCAACCTGGCCCCAAACTTGGTCCACAGGATCATTTTTGATGGCTGCAGAACCCTCCAGATGGGTCTGTGCCCAAACATAACACCCTGGGTTTTAGTGATGCAAAGTTCCTTAAAGGAAACCATTGGGCTTGTCTTCAAACTCTCTTGACTTCTTCTGTGTGTGTTTGTGTGTTCACATGTAAAGTGTTCATTCACACCTGCTTAGGCACACAAATTCTTTTCACAAGTGAGCCGTGTCATAATTGATTCTCCTAAAGGGCAGGAACTTGAAAAAGAGAAAGAAAATGGATAAAGGAGAAATGGTTGGATAGGCCAAGTATGTCAAAGAAGATATGTTAAATAAGCACAGTACATAAACAACGTAGAAGCTCTCAGAAACATTTGGCTTTTACTGGTAACTATAATCACGAGCTGATTAAAGATGTTCCAGCATACGCTTAGCTCTGGCTTAATTATTCACATAAAAGTTTGTTTATGGGCCTCATTGCCAACTCCCAAATCTTATTTTTCATTGTAATTTTGCCAAGTTTAATTAGAAGAGCGACTTCAGCGCTCCACACATTCACATGGGCCCGGAATCAGGAGGGAGCCCTTGGTTCTGGCATAACCTGCTTTTCACTCAGCACCCTCAAATTTAGTAGAGGTTACATTTGCTGAAGCACCACCAGCTGCTCTGTTCAGGGAGGAATGGAAAATTGCTTTAATTGAGAGGTCATTAACAAAAGAGGCAAAGCCGGCAGTTGACTTCTTCTTTTATCTGAGTCACCCGGGCTTGCACAGAGATTCCTCTTTGACCTGGCTTACTTCTGTGGTATGTGTAGGTTAGAGAAATTCTTACCGACAAAAGAATACAGAGCTGGGGAATAGCTCCTAGTCGAGTGCTCGCCTAATCTGTGCATGGCCCTGAGTTCAATCCCCAGCCCTGCCAAACAACACAACAACAAAAAGCCAGGCATGGTGGCACATGCCTGTAATCTCAGCTACTTGGGAAGCTAAAGCAGAAGGATCACAAGTTTGAGACCAGCACTGTCAGCTGATAGAGACCTGGTTTGAAAATTAAAAGGGCAAGGTTATATGTAGATCAGTGGTAAAGTGCTTCTGGGTTTGATCCCCAATACGGAAACAAAACAAAACAAAACAAAAATGTAGTTGCTTCTTATTTACTGCTCATGGAAGAACAAGGAGCTAACAACTGAGGGACAGAAATAAAAGTTCCTTAGTGGGCAGGCCAAGCACAGTCCCCTGAACGCTCTATTAGCTTTTGCACATCACTTACCTGTTGTAACCTCTTTCCCTTAGCCATATAGGGAACCATCAAAGAACTCCTGCGTGTCTCCAATAGAAACTCTTTTTCAGTTTATCCTTCTTAATTACATAATTCAGTGAGGTCTCTGCACCTTTCATCCTCTCTAAACTATTTTATAATTCTGTGTTTGATAACTGATAGCAATGTACATGCTCCTTTGCCACAGATACGCAGATTCTACTCAGTAGAATGACAGTTTCTTTACACACCCATCCCCATAGAAAAAGCCAGTCTTGTATCTATTTGCAATTTCATGTCAGCATTCCTCATTGACTTAACTGTGATACTCTTATTTCTCTTTTGGTCCAGTTGTAACAGCTTCCTGCTTTCCTCATTAATTAACAGGTTAAGCAAAATAGGGGCTGGGGATTTAGCTCAGCGGCACAGCGCCTGTCTGGCAAGTGCAAGGTCATGAGTTCAATTCCCGGTACCAGAAAAAAAACAAAAAAGTAAAATATTGGACACTGTTCATTTAGCCCTTGCATGAAAATCATGATTCTACCCTTTTAAAGAATTATCCTATAATAAGCTTTCAATTAGCAATAATCACGCCTCGGATAAACCTCATTGGCTACGATACTGCCACTGCGCAAAGCTATCCTATAATGAGCAAGTGTTAGTTACTATTTCCCAATGTTGGATAATATGGCCAACCATCTGAAAGATTCAGAAGTCATGGAAATAAAAGGATTTTAGGGAACCTGGAATGTGTTCACAGCAGAAGGCAGGGGCTCATATCTGCCAGCCACATATTCACTGCACTTGAGGCCAGGCTAGACATGTGCAGGTGAGTCCTGCTCACAAATAATGTTTAGTTTATGTAGGGGTTCAGTAGTTCAACAAACGTTATGTGCCAAATGAACACAGTGTGGCCTTTGCCCTAAGAAGTTCCCAGCTTCATACAGAGAGGGACACAGGGACAGAAAATGTCACTATCATTTGGTCCGTACTTCCAGAGAGATCAGTACTGGGTGTGGTGGGATCACAGAGTAGTTCGGAGTAGGAGCAGTTAGCCCAGCCCAAGAGCTAAAGAAAAGCTGCATGGATGAAACAGAACCGGAATTCAGTCCTGAAGGAGGCCTGGCGGCTCTGCGGGGAGAGAATGCAGACACAGCGGGCAGAGAAAAGGTTCATGCAAGTCCCCAGAAGTGTGCGCGGCTTTCAGTGTCTTGTGCATACCTCCAGCATGTTCTTTCTGCCAAATATTTAAGTTACCTACTTATAGTTCCCTCTCACCCTGTGGTGCTTAATCTTGATTGGACTTCAATGAGTTTAAGTGCATGTAGGTTCCAGGTTTATAGTAATGGACACAGACAGTTGCCACAGGGCTCAGGAGTCAGGCCAATGTGATTGAAGAAATAAGTTTAGAGGCCTGAACGCTTGAGCTGGGATTATTCTTAAATGAAGGTTGAGATCTGTGCTGTTTTGCCTCTGAAGGTTTCTTTGGTCTCCTTGCAGAGTGAAGAATTCCACATTTATACCCAGTATTGCACGAACTACCCAAGGTAAGGACCGGATCATTTTCAGGTTGTGTCAAGTCAGTAAACGCAGCCTATGGGGTCCTCAGGTGTAGTCTGCCCGGCACTGTGCCGAGTGCCATGGGAAACCGCAAAACATGCTAAGAACGCATTGCGGGGGCCCCAGATATTGACTGATCCCTTTGGGCTTTGGGCTCGCAGGGAAAACATTGTGAAATATGTCAGTGGAGACCAAGAAGATTACTAGGTATCCCCGAAGGAGAACTAAATGCAGCCCTTGCGTCAGTTCACCTCTATGTGTGCCTTGTTTTGGGGATTGGGAAACAGTGCTTTTGCGTTTATGTAATCCAGCTGGGGAGAAAATATGCTCTGGTTTTGCTGTGTAAGTTTTAGGAACCGTACAAGTTTATAACAGTCTGTCCAAGGAAAGGACAGATCATGACAAGGCAATACGCGAAAAGGGGGCCTGTCACCTCCCCAGGGTCGCTCACTCAGTTTTGCCTACACCAGAGGGCCGTGCAGTGCAGGGAATAATCTGGACAAAGTACTGGTCGTTCAGTGGGGGCCAAGGCACAGCTGTAGGCATTTATTTTTTTTCTCCGAAATGCAGACCACCCATCCCAGGGCCTGGCGGTCGCTGTGTTCTCAGCAAGTGCCAATGCACACCAGTCCTGCCCATCTCGATTTGATGGGTGAAGCAGCCAAGCTCTGATAGCTGTATTACCAGGAAGGCGACTAGCTGATGAACGGCCCCGCCAACATTTGAACCAAGGTTTCTCCAACCACACGCCTTGTGTCCATATGTCCTTGTAAAAGCCTGAGCTTCCCATTCCCCCGTGCCTTTGCACGTTGCTCTCTTCCCCTACAATTTGCAAGGCTAGAGTGGTCTCAAGGACCAGCCAGGAAGAAGAGACCTGGGGAATTACACAGAATCTGTGGCCATTCTTGGCAAGACAAGTCCCTCAGGATACAGTGGGTGGAAGGATCCATGTGGAAGAGAAGCCGGCGGGCTGATCCCCCAAATTGCTGAGAGAAAGGAGCCTGGACAATCCTTCTGCTCCGGAGTAACCCTCAAAGCCCATTTGTATTAAAGGGGCCGTGAAGCCAGAGGCCCAAATTTACTTATTACAAATACTTGCCATTGCAGGCTTTTACTCCTCCTCAAAATATGGGTCAGAATTTTGTGCCATTTGGTTGGTGGCCAGCTGTGCTTTTCCCATGTTTTCCCTTAAAAAAAAAAAGAACAACAAAAACCCACATGCATATTTGAGCGTCTGTCACATATCCTTATTTGTAGACACACTCATCATTTACAGTTTCACTTAAGGAGTTTTCTCACCTACAACCTCAGATATCAGGAAGTTGCAGAATGCTCCAACTAAATCCCACGGTCATTAAGCCCAAAGCAGCTTGCACCACCCCCCAATTTAGAGAAATCACAGAACCAGCCCTCAGCTTCTCCATAAAACTTCTTCCAGAGGAGAGGGAGAAGCCATTCAGCATCTGAAGAATCCACCAAGTTCTGGACCCAATAATCAGAATCTGCATGGAGAGAAGGGTTTGTTGGGCGATTATATCTGGGTACATTTCATTGTAAACCTATTGTTTGAAGAAATAGCTTCTTTATAAGAAACTTCCCGTCCAGGAGTGGTGGTGCATGCCTGTAATCCCAGCACTCGGGAGGCTGAGGCAGGAGGATCATTGCAAGTTCAAGGCCAGCTTGGGCTATAAAGTGAGCTCAAGGCCAGCCTGAACTGCACAGCAAGACCCTGTCTCAAAAAGACAAGAAAGCAAGCAAGCAAGCAAGAAAGCAAGCTAGCAAGCAAGCAAGCAAGCAAGAAAGAAAGAAAGAAAGAAAGAAAGAAAGAAAGAAAGAAAAGAAATTTGCCAATTAGCAGCTTAAGATTTTCTGACTGAGAAAAGAAAGTGCAAAATAAAGGCAGCCTCTTAATACACCAGGCTACTCCAGAGTGGAGAGAAGGGTGGAGTTTTGTGTGACAGCGCAGTAAGAGCCCTTCACATGCTCTGAGTTCAGGGGAATAGGATCTGCAGGAAGCAGGAATGGCGACCCTCACTTTCAGACAGTTTATATCCTTCTGAGGATCAGAACTTACCTAAATTCTCTAGTGAAATAGCATGTCAGGGAAGAAGAAATAAGCACAGTAAGTGTAAATTAATACAGCGTGAGCTCAGCCCTGTGTAGCAGAAGCTTCAGCTGCATCAGGTAGGAGTGATTACCCCAGTGAGGACTGTTACAGGCAGGAGAAAGGGTTTCTTTATTTTGAGTGTGACTTTGAGGAAACCTGTGTTAGCAGAGAGACATTTGCAAGCTGTTGGTCTTTTTTGGGAGGGAGGGCGGATTTTGCGTGTGTGGGGGTTATTTTGGTTTTGTTTGACTTTGCAGTACTGGGATTTGAGCCTTACTCTGAGCATCTTTACACTGAGCTATATCTCAAGCCCTTTTTTACTGTTTATTTTAAGGGGGGACTTACTAAGTCACTAAGGCTGGACTTACACTTGCCATTCTCCTGCCTCAGCTTCCCAGAGTGCTGGGATTACAAGCATACACCACCATGCCTGGCTCACAAGTTCTCCGTAAAGATGTTGAGTTCTGGCCCACTTGTGTGGCTTTCGTAATCGTAGAGAAGTACTCCCCTGGCCCCTGGTCTCCAATCAGTTTGCCATGAGGCCTGAGGTTCCCCTTCCCCCAGCTTCATAGGACAAGAGGGCCAGGCGTTACGGCCCATCTGACAACTTCTCTTTCCCTTTGGAGCCAGGGTGGTGGTAGGAAATGTGACCGCACAGGCTGACAGGTGTCCTCTTTCTTCTGGCCAGTCACACCCCAGTGATTTCCCTGTGGAGAGGTGTGAGCCCCTCCCTCGTTCCCAGGGCGTGGCGCCCCAGGTCGCTGTCCTCAGATGCCTGTCCTGTGCCTGCGACTTTGGGGAACCTGGGACTCATCAGGCTCCCGCTTCCCAGCAGGTGCTAATTGTCCAGCAGCAGCTGCAGCGCCGGATGTCCATGGCGCTCCTGGGCAGCTGGGCCTGACTCCAGAGAAAAGTTAGAAAAGTTCCAATAATGGAGAGCATTGAGATCACTGCTCAAGGGAGAAATAAACAATGTGAACAGATATTCCTGACAACATGCAAGCACCAAGAAGGTGCCATGGCTTAATTATGAGCCCCCCATTTAACTTTTTAAGCAGTCTTATTTTGGATCTGGTTTTCTCAATTAATCCTGAAAACATAACAATGACCTGGAAGAGAAAAGGAATGGAAGTGTTTCCACGTGCCTCCTTTCGTTTTCCTTCCTGCAGCACTGGGGACTGAACTTCACACTGAGCTACAGCCCAGGATTTTTTTTTTTTTTTTTTGAGACAGGGTCCATCTAAGTTGCCCGGGTTAGACTTGAACTTATGGTCCTCCTTCCTCAGCCTACCAGAATGCTGGGAACACAGGTGTGTGCCACCACACCCACCTCCACCTGCTTTCTTCTGACGCCACAGGTTTTAATTAGCAGGTATGGCCGGGCACAGTGGTGCACACCTGTAATCCCAGCACTCAGGAGGCTGAGGCAGGAGGATCACTGTGAGTTCGAGGCCAGCTTGGGCTGCAAAGTGAGCTCAAGGCCAGCCTGAACTGCATAGCGAGACCCTGTCTCAAAAAAGAGAAAATAGAGCTGGAGATATAGCTTAGTGGCATAAGTGCCTGCCTGGCAAGCACAAGGTCGTGAGTTCGATCCCCAGTACCGGGGGGGGGGGGGGGGACAAACAAATCAAAAAAAGAGAAAATAATAATAATAATAATTGGCAGGTGTGTGTGTCTGCCCACGCCTATTAGGCTGCTGTATGTACAAGAGTCAAACACTGTTTCAGCCATTCCCTTAGGATGTTCTGGTGTTCTACTTTTACCTCTGGGAGGGGTGTCCTGTTGAAGGAATTCTGCAAAGAGCTCTCTGAGGGGGTCCACTACACCAACTATGCATTTTGTACCTTATAGAGGTGACTCTTGGCAGGGGGTAACAAATGCCCTGGCAGGAGGCTGCATCTCCTGGCACAAGGAACTCCTTTTGCTTGGTACAAAAATGCCTACCCCTGGATGTAGTGGTACACACCTGTAATCCTGGCTTTTGGGAGGCAGAAGCAAGAGGATCATCTTGAGTTTGAGGCCAGCCTGGGCTACACAGTAAGCTAAAATTCAGCCTAAATTACACAGCAAGACTCAGTCTTAAAAAACAGAAAAAGATGCCTACAGTTTATAATCTGACCTGTGGCTGCAGATGTGCACAAAGACACCCAGATGGCATACACCTGGGGGCTAGGATCCAACTCAGATGTCTTTTGCCAAGCCCTAGGCCCTGGCCTGGGGCTAAGAGGAGGCAGGAACATGTTGCTTAGAAGCCAGGAGCCCATGGTGCTTTAATACCAGTACAGAGCTGCCTTCGAATTTACCCACCCAGAGAGACATCTTTCGCTAATTTGCCCCAAAGCACCCTAGTCTGGCACTAGTTCTGTGGCTGCCCTACCTGTGTCAAGGCATGTACACAGACCCTGGCCTTAAACACCAAGTCAAACATTACACTGAGACCGAACGCATCTGCTCTCGTGCAGGTCAGTGGCTGTGCTAACCGAGTGCATGAGGAACAAGGTGCTGGCCAAGTTCTTCCGGGAACGGCAGGAAGCGCTGAAGCACTCACTGCCACTGGGATCCTACCTCCTGAAGCCCGTGCAGCGGATCCTCAAGTATCATCTCCTCCTGCATGTGAGCCTGCGCCTGCACCCGGGCACCGTCCGGGGGACGGGGAATTCCTGTGCATATTTGAAATGCAGGGGAAAACATCAGGAAAGTCTGTAGACATATGGAAATGTTTTCCACCCTCATATTTTACAACTGACTAATCTGCTTTGAGGAATTAGAGATATTTATATTCTAGGCCTGCAGCCCCATTGACCACAGCCAAGTCCAGAGATTAATTTTAGCTCGGATAGTGATAGGGCTTAGGAGTGCCTCGAGCTGGCAGTGGCGATTTCAGGCAGGGAGCTGTCATCCAAATGGAAAACAGATTTGTTTTTCCCCGTTTTATTTCCATGAGCTCCGATTCAGTAGAAGTTGGGAGGAAAAGCTGTTTGTCACCGACTGGCTTGTGTTTGAGAGCAAAGAGAAGAGCTGGGAGGGAGAGGACAATAAGTAGCTTGGTGAATGGTCCCTGAGCCGGCTTGGCGTCCCTTCCAGGGTCTTCTTCCCCTTTGGAGCATTTTCCGTTACTTTTACACAACTCAAGGAGGCTTTACAAACAAAGATAAACAGAACTCTCCAATTCTCCGTTCTTTTTGATCCTCTAAGGAATGTGAGAAAAACAGGAAAAAATTTTTACTGATGGTTATTTGCATTCTGTAAATAGGATTTGCTGACCTTTAGAACAGGGGAGAGTAGAGCAGCGTGGCTAGTCTGCCCGCCCACAAGTCCCACAAGCGACCCACAATCCTATGGCCCCTAGGCATGCAAGAAAAATAAGTTAGTGTTTGTAGGTTTTTGTTCTGTTTTGGTTTTTTTGTATCAGGAACCAAACCCAGGGCCTTTCCACTGAGCTACATCCCCAGCCCTTTTTTAAATACTTTGATTTTGAGACAAGACCTTGCAAGTCGCTGAGTTGCTCAGGTTGGGCTCAAACTTCCAGTCCTCCTGCCTCAGCTTCCCTGGGTGTTAGGATTGTAGGCTGCACCATCACACCCAGCTTACCATTTATCATTTTTATGCTATATTAAAAATCTTAAAGAGATTTTAATCCAGAGCTCCTCTCTCTCAATATGCCTGTCTCTCTTTTTAAATTATTCAGCATTTCTAAATTGGATAGTCATTTTCTGATTTGCTCAGCAATTTTGAGCAATTTCAAAAAATCCAACTTTACCAGAAATGTGTTAGCTTTGTCTGCTCTCCTGGGAACTCATCTTTGAAGGACTGTACATCCTCTTAAGCCACATCAGAGCTCTTTCCTTTAACGTGGAAATTGGTCCTAATGATCTTTTAAATTTAGTGGGATAAATTTACTAAATCAGTATCCAAATAATTCTTAAATAAATAATACCTACCCCAGGACAAATCTCTGCTGAACTCTGTTAATATGACATCTAAGAGTTATGTTGAAGGTTTTCTATCTTGTAAGAGTGAGAACTATATTATTGAGAGCTATATTAGATGGACCGTGAGGAAGCTCAAAATTGCAAGCTCTGAGATCAACTGTCATACCCATTATAATTAAACATCTCTGCAAGGCTTACTGTATGCTTTATCCCCTATCCTGGAATTCTAATCTACTTCTATTATTCCTAGCCCTGTTTTTATTTCCACTTTGCCATTTTTTGGCAGGTCTTTCTGGTAAGTTATCTCAAAATCTTAGGGATTCATAGTAGTATGCAAAGAAATAAGCAAAACGACAATATAAGGAACTAATCATGGAGGTGCCATTTGTTTTATACTTGATTATGGTAAAAAAAAAAAAAAAAAAAGTAAATTGTTCTTTTTTTTTTAAGGAAATAGAAAATCACCTGGACAAGGACACGGATGGCTACGATGTGGTGCTCGATGCTATAGACACGATGCAGCGCGTGGCCTGGCACATCAACGACATGAAGCGGAAGCATGAGCATGCGGTGCGGCTGCAGGTGAGCCCAGGGCGGTGTCCGTGCCTGGTGGGGCTGCGGGTGTGCCGATGTGTCATTTCCTACATGGATATTCAGGCCACACAAGTGTTACCGTCTTCATTTGCGGTCCTCATCATAGTTCTCCCCAGGAGAGGTCAGGACGTCTGCAATACGGATCCTTGTTTAGAGTGGCTATTTGGGACAACATCACATTGTAACTTTTTCCGCTCTCTCTTACTAGTTCGCACACAACACTAAGATGGGGTGTGGGTCACAGGGTCAGGAACTCGGGGGGAACAGAGGCTGAGTCAGCACCTTGGCAGTTTCACTTGAGACATGACTCCCAGCAAATGAGAGATTGGCAGAGGTCCCATCCAGCACCAACACTGTGAGCCCTAAATCCTTAGGAAATTTTGATAGATGCTGCACCAGTTATCGTGTCCCGAGTGCCTCAAAACTGTTCAATAAATGGCCAATAAATACATGAAGAAATGCTCACCACTGCTGGCCATTACAGAAACCCAAATAAAAACGACACTGAGGTTCCTTCTTACTGCACAAAGAATGGCCATCATCAAGAAAGAAATCAAATAATAACAGATGCTGGTGAAGATACAGGGCAAAAGGCACCCTTCTCTATTGTTAGAATGTAAACTAGTACAACCACTATGGAAATCACTATAGGGATTCCTCAATATATGGAAATTAGAAATTCCATTTCACCCAGCTACGCCCCCTTTTAGATATCTCCCCAGAAGAGTTCAAAGATATCATATTACAGTGACACATGCATACCTGTGTTTACAGCAGCACAATTCATAATAGCTAAATCTTAAAAGTGGCCCGTATGCTCATCAACACATGAACGGATTAAGAAAAGGTGGCATTTACACACAATGGAGTACTGCTCTCCCATAAAGAAAGTTAAAGTTGAGTCATTTGTAGGAGAATGGATGCACCTTGCGATCATAATGTTAAGTGAAATAACTCAGGCATACCAGCTTAAATATGGCATGGTTTCTCTTATATGAGAAACCTCAAAATAAAAGATAGATAGTAGAAAGTAGGGAGATAGACCCTTCCCAAATGGGAGGAGGAGAAGAGTGGGAGGGAGGTGAGAGAAGGGATGAAAAGGGAATTCAGATGTGTTATGTGCATGGACCATGTCCACACCAGGCATGTGAACATTATGTGCTGCAAATCTGTACTAATAAAAAATGTTTAAAAACAAAACAGTCACATGGGCAACCAGTTCCGGGCCTCTCCAGGAGAGACAGAGAAGCAGAGTGGCCTGGCACTGTGCAGGGTGCCCACACCACACTCAGGAAGAAGGATGCATTATTGGCTTTTAAGTCAGAACAGACACTAGGTTTGTCCTCCAGGCAGCCAGAGTATGGTATGAAGCCCCTGACTGTCAAAAACCAGAGAAAAACAGTCTAATCTTCCATGTCAGGTCTGGTTTTTGCACCAGTAATAAAATGTTTACTGCGCAACCATCCAATGTTCCACAGACATCATAGCAGACATTATTGCATATCCCGTGACTCCGCGTGGCATTCTACAGACACCACGAAATCAGGCTGTGGCTCAAAGTTACCTCCATGTCTATTTTTTTAAAGATAAAAGAATGAAAACATATTAACAAACACACATCCATTTACAAAATAACACAAAAACAATGCAAGCAGCACTGAATCTCAGATGAGATGACAGGAAATTAACAATGGTTGTCATATTACATATTAATATCTTCAAAGTGGTTACTTGGGAAAACAAATAGAGACATGCAAGCTTGATCAAACAATTAAACATTACTGGTTCCTTTCAAAAAAGCGATAGAAGTCAGTAGTACAACTATGTTAGCTATCCTGTGTATACATATATATATAATTTTCCCCTTCTTTCTTTTCTCTTTTCTATTTCTATTTTTAACCAATGAATTTTTTTATTATCTTGGGGCTTCCTTTGTTAAATGGTGCTTGTATTTTCATTTTTCAAAATAATAAAACCAGCTTCCTTTAAAAATTAAAAATTTTAATTTTAAAATAAATTTTAAAATAATAAATTAAAATAAAAATTAAAAATACTGATGTAAGATATTGATACTGACATACAGTAAATCCTAAAAAAATGCCAGTCATGTTACCAATTTATGTTTATCAAATTCCTTTCAAAGCACTAAGACGTAGTCACAGACTGATGCTCATTTTCTTTCCCTAAATAAATGAATTTAAAATCAGGAAACTCACCTGTAGTCCCCACACTCAGGAGGCTGAGACAGGAGGATCACCACAAGTTCCAGGCCAGCCTAGGTTACACAGTGAGTTCAAGCCTAGCCTGAACTACATAATGAGACTGTGTCTCAAAAAATAAACAAACAAAAAAATGAACCCAAAAATTAATCAATTAATCTGAAAACTTTTGAGAGGCACAGCTTGTGGGATTTTGCATGGATTTTTGTTTTGAATTACTTGAGTTTCTGAAGAAAGTTTTTATGTCAACTGCTCTGTCTCAAGTCACTAGAGAAGAGGGGGTGAGAAAACTACGGGAAATTGATGTCTCCTCAAGAAGATCCCGTGCCGGTGGCCCTGTTACAGCTTTTGAAAGTTGTGACTGATGGTACCGGCCACAGCACAGCCATTATTGAGGAATGGCAATAAATAATTGGCCACTCGGCTGCTAACAGTTTGATTCATGACACCACTTGTGCACAGCAGATTTATATTCTAGGCTATAGTCACCACTCCTGGGGCCCAAGAGAGGGCCACCAGGTCCTGGATCCTGGCTTCTCGCCTCCGTTTGACCTGGGGACCCTCCCTTTCCCAGGAGATACAGAGCTTGCTGACGAACTGGAAAGGGCCCGACCTGACCAGCTACGGGGAACTGGTGCTAGAAGGGACCTTCCGCCTCCAGCGGGCCAAGAATGAGCGGACACTCTTCCTTCTGGACAAGCTGCTCCTCATCACCAAGAAGAGGGAGGACACGTTTACATACAAAGCACACATCCTGGTAGGTGGCAAGGCCAGGGGTCCCCTGCTGTGGCTCCCCGGGGCTTGCCTCACCTCTGTGCTCCCCCTGTCCAGTGTGGCAACCTCATGCTGGTGGAGGTGATCCCCAAGGAGCCGCTTAGCTTCAGCGTCTTCCACTACAAGAACCCCAAGGTGCAGCACACCGTTCAGGTGAGAGGGGCCTGGTGGAGAAGGGCGAGGCCATGTGCGTGTCTCCCAGCTTATCAGAGGCTGAAGGGGCGCAGTGGTCCAGCGTCTGAGCGCCCCAATCTGCCCCTAGGCGAAATCCCAGCAGGACAAGCGCCTCTGGATTCTGCACCTGAAGAGGCTGATCCTGGAGAACCACGCAGCCAAGATTCCGGCCAAGGTAAGAGAAGGGGAGGGTTGCACAGTTGGCCGTGGTGCTCAGAGGTGGCCTGCTGGGCCGCAGGGTGAGGCTTCAGAACTGCATTTGAGAGGTCGCATGGGGTCAGTTACACCTGCCATTTATATCAAAGAGAGTCATGTGTGGTGGGCTCTGTGGGGTGTGAGTATGGTTATTATTTTTCCTTTGGTGATTGAAAGAAGAAAAAATAAAGGAAAGGACTATAAGGAAACTTCCAGAAACTAGTAGAGGCTGGGTGTGACATCACACACCTGTAATCCCAGCACTCAGGAGGCTGAGGCAGGAGGATCAGGACTTTGAGTCCAGGTGGGGCTACATAGAAAGACTGACTCAAAAAAAAAAACAAAAAACACAAACGGAAAATAGAGGATGAGAAATAAGCAAAGGGGACCCAAGAACCTGCCAAGCAGGAGGCTGTGAGGGGACACCCGCGACAGAGCCAGGCCTGACCACAAAGGAGTTCATGGCTGAGGCAGCTGCCCTGAACCCCCAATGATTTGCTCAACACGGTGACGTCCCAGTGCTGCAAGCTAGGTGTCCTGGAAGGACACAGCGTTCAGCTGAATGTGGGAGGAAGGAAAATGCCTTTTACTTGATTCTTGAAGGATGAGGGATGTTTTCATTAGTGGGGGGGGGGGGAGAAACTGAGGCTGAGAGAACAGGGTAAACAAAAACAGAGGCATGAATTCAGGGAGCACCCTTTCCCCTAGTGCCCGGGGGTCCTGGGGAGATGGGCAGAAGGGGTACAGGGGTTGGAGCGAGACTGGGAAGAGAGACAGAGAGGGAGAGCACTGTCCCAGGAGCCACAGCGGCAGAGAAGAGGATTTCGCAGGCCACCTGCGTGGGGAGGGGCTCCCAGAGGCTGAGGAGGAGGCTGGAACCGGTTTGATGGGGGTCCAGCGGTGGGCGGGCGGGGCCTGTGCAGGTGGAAATTCAGGTTCTGGAAGCCAAAGATCGGAAGAGACAGTAATGGAATCCCTGCGGTTTGACAGCTCGGCCCCCAAGAATGTGAAGGGAAAGGCGGACCCGGCAGCCCCAGCCAGGGACCCGCAGGAGGAGGGCCCCGGGGAGCGCCCAGAGGGGGCGAGGAGGTGGTGAGACAGCCAGGGGACGAGGGGCCGAGGAAGGGCCAGCGTCGCAGGCGGGGAGGAAGGCGGCCCTGCTGAGGTCCGCAGAGATCCCACCACCCGGCAGATCAGGTCGCGGTGGGTAGAAGAGCAGGGGAAGTGGAGACCAACTTGCTGCAGACTCTTTTTTTCTTTGCACAAAGTTCAAAAAAGAAAAATGGTGATGGTTTGGGGAGAGACCCCATCAAAGCAAGCTTTTCTTTGGTAAAAACTAGCACTTGGGTCCCTGGGCCGTCGGGGGAGGCGGGGGCAGGAGGCCCGGAGGCTGTGTGTCGGGGGAGGAGCAGGCCGCGGGCCAGGGCGGAGTAGGCAGGGGCCTTGGAGAGGGATGGACGTCTTCCCAAAGGACATGGAGGGGGACCAGGGGGCCCGGGCAGTCTTGGAGTCACCCATGGCACCTGCGGGCCGCAGCAGGAGCGGGTGAGCTCCTGCGGGAAAGTGGGCAGGTTCAGAACCACTGCAGAAGAAAAGGGATTCCTCGCCAGTGGTGACTAGAACCCTCCATGAGAAGCCCAGGGACCCAGCCGAGGCCCCACGCACTGGGCAGCGCTGGGTGGGAGACTGGCAGGGTCTCCCAGGTCGGGGACAGCAGGGCTGGGTCCCCGGGGCCCAGGAGGATGGTGCTGCAGACAGCTGCCTGATTGCCAAGTCGGTGGGGAGGAGACAGCTGGGGAAAGACGGCAGAGGAACAGGTGATCAGAGAGCCGGTGGCCCCGGACGCAGGCAGGGGGCGGCTGGCGCTCCGCGGTGGGCGGGCGTGGGGTCGTCGCAGGACCAGGACTGGGTGGCGGGACAGGAGGACTGGGCGGCCTGGCACGGGACAGCGTGCTGCCCTCTGTTCTGAAAAGCTTTTGAGGCCGGAGCCCAGGAGCCGCCCGCGATGGTTAGGCACTCAGGAAGTGAGTGCGCCCAGGTGTGCCGGAGGGAAGCCAGTGCCACTCAGGCGGGCGGGGCGGGGCGGGGCGGCTGCAAGGTCGCACCTGAGCGGCCACCGCGTTTCTTCAGGGCCTGGGCCTCCGGATGCCCTCTTCGGCAAGGCAGCCGCCTTGGCTGTGCCCCGCCCACTGTTTATGTGTCTCCTAGGAAAATCGAAATTGTTTAAACAGGCTCTGAAAGGCAATACGGACCGTGACCAAGCCCGACCAGCGATATCCCTGCGCTTCCCCCCGACCCCGCACCAGGTGGGGGGGTTCTACTGGCCGCTTCCTCGCTGTCCCCGCAGCTCCTGCAGCTCTGCAGAAGTCTGCTTCTCACCCGAGCTGCTGACCCGCTGAGAATCTAAACACTGATCTTGAAGCGACGATGTGTGCACGAGCTAAGGACTTCGCGCTTGTACTTCACCCTCAGGAAAACATCCTACCAGTTCTTGTTCTTCCCATTTCAGATAAATAAAAAGAGGGTTCCGAGATAAAAAATCAGTTGCCCACGTTTAACTAGGACACAGTGAACCAAATTCAAACCCAGGTCCGTCTGGCTTCAAAGAGCCCCTTAATTACTTTGTCCCTGATACTGATGAGAACACACAGTATTTAACTCCTTATCTGCTATCATTTCCTGTCTTATTTAAGAAAAATTCTTCAGTTGAGCTTTTTATACATCCTTGAGCAATATTATTTCTAAAATTATTGAAGTTATCTAGACATTTCTTTCTATAAAATCAAAGAAATGCGTAAGAAGACATTTTCAAGATCAGAAACAGTATCACAGGGCTAATGATGTTTTCGCTCCAGTTCCTCCCACCCTGCCCGGGTCTTTAACCCCACGACGGTCCTTGGCTGCCATCTAGTGGAATATGTGGGGAAATAGTACTTTTTTAGATTAAATTTTAAAATTTAGGGAAAAAAATTACAAGATTATAGATAACGGGTTTATAGGATTATAGACACCAGCAAATTTCTTCAAGCTAGCCACATTTCCACATGTATGATAGGTAAACTGAATTTTTGTCCAAATTAATTGAGAGTAAGGCCAAGGTAAATTTTTTTTGCAGTTTATACGTTAACGTGAGTCTAGAAACATGCGTCCCAGAAATTGAGCTATCACTTGTGTTTAAAATTAATTCCAATAGTAATCTCAAATTCTGTGTAGAAATATTAGTGTAAAAAATCTAAGTAGTTTTTTTTTTTCAAAATTAAGCTGGCTATGTGGAGGCCTCCCCACACACGCACATAAAATTGAGTATGATTGCCACTCCGCCTAAATACACAGTGTAATATTAAGACTGCAGCAAAGGAGGAGTGGAATTATTTTTAAAGCTATTTTTGGCATAGTGTTAGTGGCTTACGTGTAATGACTACTGCCCTTAACTGTGGCTCTGAAGCGGTAGGAAAGGCTACACAGGCTGGTTCTTCTTTGAATGCTTAGGCAAAATGATTGGTTAGGATAATCAATTTACGTGTTTATAAACCGCTAAATATAAAGAACACGTGGAGCCGGGGGTATAGCCCAGGGACACAGCACCTGCCTGGCAAGCACAAGGTCCTCAGTTTGATTCCTGGTACAAAAAAAAAAAAAAAAAAGAAAAGAAAAAGAACACATGGAAACGATAAGAACAATTAAAATAAGCCCCAAGCACTGGGCCTCCAAAGAGGGGCTTTCAGTGGGGAGAACAGTGAGCACGAAGAGGCACTGGGGGGGGGCAGCTAATCAGGACCGCCCGTCACTGGAGGCTAATGGCAGCGCTGACCGCAGGACCTGTTGTCCTGCCTTAGAGTTGAGCAGGCGAAGTGATGCACCCCTGACTCTGCCAGAGCTGGGATTACAGACAGTGCCCCACAGAGCCCTGTGCCACACGGTGACTCCTCTTGCCCTGCGAGAGACCCTGGGGCACCCGAAGAGATGGGAGGTGCAGGGGCGCGGGGAACAGGGTAAGTCAGCAGATGGGCACCACACGGCTCTCGGGAGAAGGCAAGCAATGGCCGTAAACGCCCAGCAGCTGTTTGCCAACCCCCTTGGCGGTGCAGTCCTTGGGTTCCACATCCGCAGTTTCGGCCAAGAGCAGGTCAGAGATATTACGGGGAAAGCACTGAGTCAGCCTGCGCCGAGCTTGTGCAGACTCCTGTCTTGTCATTGCTCCTGCTCTCCTGCGCTGGGCATTCTGAGCTATCGAGAAATGAGTCAGAGTCCACAAGCAGATTGTGTGGGTTATATGCAAATGCCGTGCCTCTTTTATAAGAGCATCCACGGGTTTTGGTATCCTTTGCAGAGAGTAGGGGTGATCCTGGGACCAGCCCCCCATAAATATAGAGGGAAGATTGTAGAACCCCCCTCGAAAGACATGGAGCGGGTGGGCAGGGTAGATGCTAGGCTCCATGCCTTGAGCTTGCGAGTCATGCACGATGGTCAGGCACCAGGGTGCGACACTGCTTCCTAAGCTTCCCAGGGGCTCCTGATCAGCAGCCAGGCTCAGGCCAGCCTCTCTCCCCATCTCCCTCTTTCTGCCAGGGTCGGATAGGGTACATTCTTAGCTCTGGCGCACCAGCTGGGCAACACCTATTACCCCTGTGAAGACACGCATCTGTTCGGATCCCCGGACCTATGTACTACAGCCTAAAGGAAACACTGGGTGTTGAAAAGTTTTAAAAAGTCCATTTAGTCTGGGTAAGATCTGTGTCAGGATTGGTAGTTTTAAAAAAGAAAAGTAATAGTTGCAATTATAGCTGCACTTCCTCTCTTTCAGGCCAAGCAAGCAATACTTGAAATGGATGCCATTCGTAAGTTTTGTTTCCTTACCCTGATTTGAACTGTTATTGCCTCCTTGTACTGTATCTGTCACATTTCCTGTCTTAAAATTCATCACGTCAGTCAGTTGTAAGAAAATGAAAGCTCTCTACTCACTGCTTTATCAAACAGAGCAGAAGTTATAATCCCCTACAGATACCACACTGAGCTGTTTTTATATTGACTCTCCTGGTGTATGGGTGAGTCGCTGGGTGGCTGGCCGCATGTCTGGTTTTCTGCAGCAGCTGACAATGTCAGATGAACCTCTAGCGTCCACTCTGCCTCCCACCTCCTCCACCACCAAAAAGCCAGGCTCCACAACGGGTCTCTGTTTCATCCTAGCCCCTAAATACCGTGTCAGTTATCAGCAAGAACCCTCATAATGTGATACTTGCTGTTTTTCTGATGCAGACAAAATTCTAAAGATCACAACCACCCCACATTTAGGACTGTACATCTAAATTTACAAAAGCAGTCAGAGAATAGACATGTCAGGTCCTTCTTATTAAATAAGACCCTGTTCACTACCACTCCTAACATCTTTGTTACTCCTCAGATTTGAGAACAAAAAGAAAAAAGCAATAGTTTTAAACACTCATGACCAGATCTGCTGGAAACTTATTTAAAACACTTCTACCCAGGCATGGTGTCACATGCCTATAACCTCAGCTCTCTGGGAGGCTGAGACAGGTGGACTACAAGTTCAAGGCCAGTGTGGGCAACTCAGCTTACTTTCTAAAGCTTTTTTAAAAAATGAAAATTAATTAAAATACTTCTCCTTTAAACCTATCAAAATACTTACCATGAAGGAATCTTTTCTCAAGTGCATACACTGATTCCTTGCCCTCCAGCCTGCCATGGTCAGCCCTCCAGGAGAAAAAAGAAACATCAGGGAGATGACATAAGCGCATCGTCCTGCCACTGTAGCTGTGGCTCCAGGTTCCCATCCAGCAAATATGAGAAGCTGCTCAGTGATCCCTGCCAGAGGGCGAGTCTGTGTGCTCTAAACCCCATTTATTCCTTGAAAGTCGCCTTAAGATTTTTAAAGAGCTGTCTGGAGAGATTTGGTCATGGATGGGCAGATGCACATTAGGAGCAAGATGGAAGAAGACACAGATCTAGAGAAGTCAGCGGCCTTCGGGGCCAGCTGCACTCCACAAAATGATCTACTTATGGCCAGGCTCTGAGCAAGCACTTGAGACCGAGTGCCCCAGATTGTTTCACGTGTCTCTCTTGCCCAGGCTGAACCCAGGGCAGCCGTGCTGGAGGCAGGCACCTTCTGGAGGCTTACACCTGGCTCAGCTGTGCAGCCGCAGTGCCCTCACTCGGGTACCAAGGCCTGACACAGAGCTCACTGTGTGTGGTCTTTAGGGTCTGAACTCAAGACTCCTGTGAAGAACCTTAACCATAACCTGAGAAGCATCAGTGTACGGCTGTGTCCTCAGAGTGCTGGCCCTGAGCCTTCAGGGTGCAGGTGACCGCTAGACAGGCCCCTCACATTGGCATTAGATCAAAATGCCTTCGTCCAAAGTCTGTGCAGCTGAGGTGGAGTAGAAAGATATGAATTCAATGAAACTGAACAAAAGCTCCTTTCCTGGTAAGAGAGTCTAAGGATTTCATCAGATGCATAAAGGGCTAATGTCTAGGAACATATTAAGAGCAACTATGCTGAAGGACACCTGCCACGGAGACATACATGGAGCTGTCTTTCTAGGAAGCCAAAGCTGGGGGTTGACAGCTCCTTCTGCTAAGGATGGAAACAGAAGGCCATGCGGGAGGGGAAGAAGGGGCGAGAGAAGGAGGCAGGACAGGGGCTCAGGGACCTCACCCGCACACTACTGGAAGCCCAGAGTCCTGAACAGTTTTGAGATACAGTCAACACCAGTTGTGGTAGTGGTAGAATAGATCCATGTCTGATGCAAAAGAATAAATACAGCGATATCTAAAATAAGCTCTGGCCATTTTCCCAGAAGCCCTCACCCTGACTTGTGCTGTGGTCATCTTTGCAGACCATCCAGGCTTCTGTTACAGCCCCGAGGGGGAGACGAAAACGCTCTGCGGCTCCAAAGACGGTGCCACGCCGTATCGGCTGAGAAGAAAGTCTGGTAAATGGGACACAGTGATGACAGTGTGATACTATGGGCACTGGAAGTGAGAGTCACTTTCAGGACAGAGAGATATTTTCTGTCTGGTTTTTGCTCTTACTGCTGGTCTGAGTACATACGAGGCTGCTTTGACACAAAACTTTCCAGCCTTTGTTTTAAACTCTTTTTCTACTTAACTCTCTCTTCCCATTTAATGCTGCCTTTCCCATGGGTAGAAAACATATCCATCAACTAATTTTGCTTCCTCCAGCATCTGACCATGGGCATGCAGTTAGGCAAACCCTATCTGCAACTGCTAATTAATATCATGTCCTATGGATGACACACACAAAGGATTATTCACACCTCAGACCAGCATGCACATTTGCTACAGCAGACTCCAGGAAGCATTGTCCTACCCTTGGATCTTGATTCTACTGGAATCAGTATTTATTAAGCACCTATTTTACGCCTTGCTGAGGATAAGAATAAATAATGTGGGTGATTCCTGTTTGCAGAGAGCTCAGTGTGGGAGACAGAACGTGGGAATAAATACCAGTTTGTGTGATGGTGCTGTGGCAGAGGTGGGATGCAAGGAAGGGGGAACTGATAACCTAGGAAAGAGAGAGAAGCCTTCATGGTGTAAAGGACCAGGTATCCAGTAGTCCTCCAGTGCGCTGGAGATGAGAGGCCAAGGGGACTGAATTACAGTGCCGAGGCCCTGAGACTTCCACCAGCACAACTGAGGCCAGGCAGCGCCTACTGCCAGCCGTGTATACCGGCTGCGAGCTGGGGAGCCGGAGTTGGACAGGGGCGGACACAGTGGAGGATGAGATGGAGACAAGCAGACAGAAGCTTGACCCTGAAGGCCTAGCTGGCCAGGCAGAGGGTTTGAACTTGGCAATCCATGAAGGAGTGGAAGCAATGAGCTATGAGAATTGTCTTTAGAGAAAGAACTCAGACTGTATGTGGGGAATGGGGAGGCAGGGAGGACAGGAGGGAGGCTGCCGTGCTAGTCTGAGGGAGAGACGATGCAGGCTTAGCTTCAAAGAGTGGCTACCGGGATGAAGCATTATTGGGAGCCCCCAAAACTGTGATGGATTAAAGCAGGAGAATTTCAGAATATTGTCCTGATCACTATCTTGGGAGAGAAAGGTCAATAAGAACCCAGAAGGAAATACAGATGAAGGAGCAGATTAGGGAAGAGGACGGTGAACTGCAATTGGACGCATAGTTTGTTGAGTCAGAAGCTTGGGACACAAGGGCCAGGGGTATAGCTCAGTAGTACAGTGCCTGTCTGGCAAGTGCAAGGTCCTGAGTTCGAATCTTAGTACCAAAAAAAAAAAATGCAGAAGAAAAAGCTTGAGATAGGCATGTGACACAGTATATAAAATTCAAAGTTACTACCTTAGAGGAAAGGAAGTTGCTTTAGTGGTTGATAGGTTAGCAAAGTAGTGTTTTGCCTTTCTGTTATGTGACTTCTGATTCCTTAACATTTATCCTATCCTTCTGACAGAGTGAATTTCTTGTCTCTAAATATTTCTGAGCAATGGGCAGTGGAATTTAAGTAAATTTGATAAGAAATTTCTAGAGCTCATTTAATTTAACATAACTAGTAATTTATAAAGGAAAAATTTTTATTTGGTTCTGCAACTCATGCTGACTCTGTTTTCCTCCCAGAACCTTCCTCGAGATCACATAAAGTTTTGAAGACCAGTGGTAAGTACCTAAGTACCTTTCCGCTCTCGTTCCTGTGCATTCCGAGTGAAAGCATACACACACAAAAAAGTATCAGATGAATTATAGCTTCACAGATTTAAGGATCAGCTCACAGAAAGACAAACTTCTATAAGCAAAATAGTCTCATTTTAATATGGGAACGAAGGGCGCTCAGCACATACACTGAAATATGACGAATGGTGCAAATTGTGTGCAACATATCTGACAGGCATAAAAAATTAATGCTTCTATTATGTAAAGATGTTCCATACTACAAATAGAAGAGTTAAAGACCTGTTTAATGTATGTATACATGATACACACACACATGTATTATATATACACACATATGCACACACATCGACATACATACAAACACACAGATTTATACACACAAGTACATTTGGAGAGCTTTAGAAAAGAAACAAAGTGCCAATAAAATTTTAAAACGGTCACCGATGTTTATCATTTTAAAAAGCTTCTATTTAAATAATATACATGGATGGGGAAAGCTAGGAGCTTGGCCAAAGACACAGAAAAACAGGCCCTACAGAACTACTGCGGGTGGGTACGTTTGTGAACCTGTCAGGAATAAAGCTCAGTGATGCCCATTTAAATTTGCCCTTGACCCAACATATCACCATTAGGCCTTTATAGAAGTTCTCACCCCACACAGGTATGGACAGACCTATGTATGTGTGCAGTCTTTGAAGCATTTGTAGTAGAACACTACAATGCCAATTGTAAAATGCCAATCTAGTGACAAACAGTTAAATAAATTGTGGTATATCCATACATATAAAGGAATATTATGCAGCATTGAAAAGAACAAAGTACATTTCTATCTACTGACAAGAGTGTCCCTAAATGTATAGGCAAAAATGTAGTATTGTCTATGGGAGGCTTATTTAAATAACAACCGCTGTGCATCACAGGGATGAGTATAGTGCATTTGGGAGCCAGAAAGACAAACCACTGTTAGCAGTGGTTACCCTAGGGGAAGATGTGTATAGGAAGAGAAGTGCTTTATTTTATTCCATAATTAAACAGCTTGTAAAGACAAGACACACATAATCAGGATATCTGTAATGGTGTAAAGCATATGACTGTAAGCCCGTGTCTACAATTCCACTGGCAATATTCCTCAGCCCAGGGTGCAGGAGCTCCTGTTGATCACGGCTGTTGTATCATTCAGTTAAAATCCATACAGTGTCTGAAAATCCACAGGAGCATTCTCTTATCCTCATGAGGGTTTTATGGCCAACGTGAGCATTTTTCTTGCAGGTAGTACATATTTTTTGTTTGGAAGTTTTTAAAACTTTGTACCATACAGTGGATCATTGCTCTCAGGGACCCCAAGACTCAGATGATACCCCATAACTGTACTAGAGGTGAAGATATGTAACTGGGACAAGGGGAAGGCAGTTTTGAAGATTAGGTTTAAAGGGTCCAGACTTCTCTTGGTTTTTAATTATTACCAATAAGTTTCTAAGTCCTATAAAAAAATTAGTGCTTATTTATATATGAATGCTTATTATATATATACATTTCTGTATGTACATTTTCATTCTCAAGCTTGAAAAAAAATCTTTTGTTTTTCAGAAACAGTGCAAGACATCCAAAAGGTAAGCATTGCCGCGTTTCTTTTCCCAAGTTGAAGTGGGCACTGTCTGTCTCAGTGGTCTCCCTTGACAGCACGTCTCACTCCAGCTGCACTTTCATTGTCAACAGTGACCTTACACTGTGGCAATTTTATGTTGTACATTTTATGTTTGTTTCACATTTTTTATAATTTACATTTCATTTAAAGGAGGGCCTAACCTTATCAACTGCCTTCCTCCTCTTTGTCCCTCTGAACTGAAGTAACCTTGCATTCATCCCTCTGCCCTGCCGCACCTGAGGAGCTCTATCCTCGCCTTAGGAAGCACAGTACTAGGGGGATGCAGCTCACCTTGTCCAGAGAAGATACAGCGCTTAAGCACAGCTCCCTTCACAAAGCATTAGCCTCAGTCCCAAGGACGAGGTGCTCCTTCTAAGAATATGGGCCTCAGGCAAGCATGATAACGTGGGCCTGGAGTCCAGCTACTTAGAAGGCTGAGGCAGGAGCATTGTTTGAGTCCAGGAGTCCAAAACCAGCCTGGGCAACATAGCAAGACCTGGTCTCAAAAAAAAAAAAAAATTACAAGGAGGAATATATTCCTACTGCTATCAGAGGTGTGATGATATATGATATAGTCAAACTTTGCCATGCAAATTACAGGTTTTTTACTCCTATAAAAGGCTAGATGAATGGGCAGAAGAATGCTGTCTTAGCTGGGGATGCAGTTCAGTGATGGAGTACTTTTCTACCATGCCTAAGTCCTAGGTTCAATCCCCAACACTGAAAAAAAAAAAAACTTGTCCTTTTGGGAGATATAATCCAAATTCATTACCTGCAAAGAGCAGGAATTGCGTCCCGACCCATGTCCTGATTCTTCCAGTATGGCTGCTGACCAGTTGGCTTAATTAAGCATCCTTGGAAAACTAACTGTGGCTTTTTGTTTAATGTTCCGTGTCTACAAGGCTCTGAATCTCTCTCTCTATAATTTCACTTATGCCAGCGCTTACCACAGGGCTGCAGTGGCCCTGTTGATAAAGGGTGCATCTTTCCAATAAACCAGTAAAATGTGTAAATATCAGCACAGTCTTATGTTAAAGTGATTTTTATTGCTCAAGGCACCTATTTTTTCAGGTAGTATATGTTTTTCTTTGGAAGCTTTTGAAACATATAAATGTTAATTTATTGTCCTGAAATATGGTATAAGACTTTGATTTTGTAGTCTTTGTTTTCATAAATGGGGTCATTGCAGAAGTTGCCTGTCATGGCTTATCTCTGGATGTCCCTCCACAGTCTCATGTTCTGTGGCAGTTTTCAGAGCTGGCTGGATCTAGGGCATGTGATACTAGGATTAAAGGCATGTGGTACTAAATTAGTCCACTGACTGGAATTAGTATAGTTCTGGGTGTGGAAAATGGATGCCCCGCCCTGGGTGCAGGTGCTGCCAATCAAGAGAGAGAGGAAAGGCAGGCTGCTGCTTGCTGCTCACTGCATTCTGCCTGCCATGAACTGTTTCTCCTCTTTGATGCCCCTCTTCTATGCTGCCCTGCCCTGGAGCCCACCAAGTATGGACTGAAACCTCTGCAAACTATGAGCTAAAATAAGCCTTTCCTCTAACTTGTAGGTGTCAGGTATTTTGTCTCAGCAATAAGAAATTAACCAAGTGCCCTGCTTTCTAAGGTAGCCAAAGTAGGATCATGGCACCAAGACCTTTTCAGTGAGAAATGAACTTTTGTTTGTCTTTTTGGGACAGGGTCTCACGATGCAATTTAGGCTGTCCGTGAACTCACTTTGTAGCCCAGGCTGGCCTCAAACTTGCAACGGTCCTCCTGCCTCAGCCTCCTGAGTGCTAGGATTATAGACATGCACTGCCAAGCCTGACTGAAGTAAATTTTAGAGCTCCAACATTAAGTACTTCCTGAAACTTCCTACAAGAGCACTCAAACCAGGCCCCTATCAGAAGTAACTAAGCCTCCTAAAATTAGAATACAAGAAAGAAAACACCCATGAGCTCTTTTCAGTGGCAAAATGCTATCTCCTAACAGTAATGTCCTGAATGTATAGTAAATGCAAGGACAGGAAATTTACTCACAATTAAATAGCTTATTATAGGAAATATTCCTTAGTAATAACTTAATATTTCTCCCAGAATATATATTCTAAAGGGGTGTGTGTGTGTTGGGTTAAACTTGTATATCGGTCCTGATTAAGACATAGATTCCAATGCATTTCTGCCATTTATAAACTGTATGACTATAGGTGCTGCTTAACCTTACCAGGTCTTAGCTCTCCAATTTATGCAATTGTTATGAAAATTAAACATGATATGTTTTTAAAGTGCTTAACATGTAATTGGCACAAAGCAAGTGTTCCATAAATGATAGCTATTATCAAATTATTAAGTAGTGATAATGCTGAGAGTGTAGAAAAGCAGAAAACCGTTCACCTTGGTTTTGGTCAACTTGAGGTGTCTAAATTACTACATCCTTCTATGTTGTGACCCATCATATATTGATTATGTCTTAATCTTAGAGTTTCATCAGTTCTCCTAATGATTCACTGAATGTAAATACCCAGCTTCCAAAATACTGCCATGATCATTCCAAGAGTATTTAATTTAAAAATAAACTTCAGTGTTAACAGTCCAGTTTTCCAGAACATCTGGGAATTTCCTGTGATGAAAGATCTTAAGAACAATTACTTTGGGTGTTGTGACAAACACAAAATTTTTTAGTTATACCTGTGGTGTTTTGTAATAACTTAACCAGTGACTGTTCACTCACTTTACTTTACTGAAAGTAGTGATGGGGTATTAGCCCTCACTGGTGTGATCAAATACCTGAGAAAAACAATTTAAAGGAGGGAAGGTTTATTCTTGACTCATGGTTTCAGACCGTGCTCAGCCAGCTCCTTGCTTTCAGCCCTGTGGGGAGGCAGAAACATCCCGGCAGAAGGGTGAAACCTGTTCACCTCATGTTGGGTAGCAAACAGCAAGCAAGGGGAGGAGCCAAGAACCAGACTGTCCCTAAGGCCACGCCCTCATGACTCACTTCCTCCAACTAAGCCCCGCCTCCTAATATCCCGTTGGTCCACTGATGATCATATTGACAATCAAGGTTAACTGGCATAGCATATACCAATATTTTTATAAACATTACACCAGCATAGTCTGAGTAAGGCAAAGGGATGAGATACTAAAAGATGGAAGGAAATGATATATAAAGGCAATAACTTTTTTACAAGAATTGTATGTGATATGTGAGTGAAAAAAAGAACAAAATATAAAATGATTAATTCTTTTAGGCTTCAATAGAAACATAGCACTTAGGGTGAAATTTTGTTTTTACCCTCTCATTTCTTCCTTTCTTAGTAGATATGGCAAGTGATGAAAAATTCTTGCAAATTTAATATCTGCATAGGCTGTCATGATGTTTTGATCAGAAAATATATCCTGGGTACAAACCAGTTTGAACAAGGCTTAACCCTTTCAATTCTTTGAAGTTAATCTTTCTATGTACAAAATAGTATCACAGTAATCCACTCCATCAAAAAAGTTTCCATGTTATAAATAAATAATACTTCATTGTATCCTTTGCTTAGAAATCATTAACATCACTCATATTTTACTTCCTACCAGGCCATTAAATGTTACTTAACAAAATATATTTTGAAGGGAAGCAAAATAACAGTGCTCAGCAATGGATTAAATTAAACCCTGGACCGGAGATATAACTCAGCAGCTCAAACACCAGCCTGGCAAGTGCAAGGTCCTGAGTTTGATTCCCAGTACCAAAAAAAATTAAATTACAACCCTACAACAAAGGCTCTTCCTAGAATCTATAAAGTGAGGTAATGTTGGTCAGGCTTATAAGGGGTTGGCTGCTTTGAGGGATAACTTGGGGTTTATAGCCAGGTTGGGTTGCCCAGCAGGGACTCCTGGCATACAGGAGACCATGACAAGACTCCTGTGAGTCAAACACTCCTTAATAAATCTCACATACAAACTAGACACCATGGCCCTTGACACCTACATATATTCATTCATACAATCAATATTTGGCCAAATATACATCACTTTGAAGTATCTAAGAGTTGTCTGTATTTAGTTGATATCCTGCTTCAGGGCAACAGTGGTAGAGTCAGACCTGGATTTGAGTCCTAGCCCTACTCCCAAACAGGTAGAGCAAGTTACTGAATCTTTAGGAAACCACATTTCCTTACTATACAGAGTCCATCAAAAAAGATGTATACATCAGGAAAAGAAAAATTGTATAAATATTGTAATACTATATTTATGGGGACATCATGCAATTAATACAAGGCACCTTTGGTCCCTACAATTACAAGAGGTGCTCACAGTGGTGGCTGTTAGCTTCCAGACATTAATCAATATGGTGAACTGCTGAAGTGTGAATGCATTTTTTGGGCAGATTCTGTATTTGTCTAATATCTAATTTGCAGAGTGATTTTTGAATAGTAACTTCAGAGGATAGCTGCAAATCACCTATAGCCAAGTTTCCAAATTAATATTAATTCTTGTCCTTTCCGCCCCCTTTAAAATCAACGCTGTCTATGCTCACTTTCTTTAAGAACATGGCAGTGTGGTGGCAGAGCCCTCACGCAGGAGCAGGAGAAACTCCCAAGTTGCACGGCTTCTCCACAGTGCTGTAATTCACTGGTATGTTTCTGTCTAACTCAGGTTTCTAGAGAGGAAGGTTCTGCCCAGCTGACTTCTGCGGGGCCTTCTGCTGCCCAGAGGAACAGTCAGCCCAGCAGCTCCACCATTCTCAGCGTGCTTCGAGGGGGTGGCGCCCTCAGGAACATCTGGACGGATCACCAGATCAGGCAGGCCTTGTTCCCCAGCCGCCGGTCCCCACAGGAGAACGAGGACGATGAAGACGACTACCAGATGTTTGTGCCGTCCTTCTCCTCCTCAGACTTGAACTCCGTCAGGCTGTGTGAAGAGAGCAGCTCTTCCAGTCGCCCTTGCAGCTGGCATATGGGACAGGTTGAGTCCACAGAGACCTCAGGGGCTGGCCACAGGATTGTCCGTCGAGCCAGCAGTGCCGGTGAGAGCAACACATGCCCTCCTGAGACGCGAGTTAAGGACGGCAGCAGCTCTCAGTACAGCCCCCGCAGGGAACTGCAAAACGGTCCTCACACGGAAGGGCAAGAAGACGTGAATCCGTTTGGGTCAGCTGTAGAGCTGACGATTGACGACATAGACCACGTCTACGATAACATAAGTTATGAGGACTTAAAGCTAATGGTTGCTAAACGGGAAGAACCTCAGTCTACGCCCCCCAAATCAGCCCGGGATTCGGTTCGCCCTAAGAGCACCCCGGAGCTCCCCATCTCAAAGAGACAAGCTGGCCACAGCACAAGTTCTGTACATACAAGGAGAGACGCAGCACTAGGCAGCCGGGAGGCGGCTAACCAAAGCACTCAGGAGCTCCAGGAGGAGGAGAATGTCTACGACACCATCCGGCTTCCAGACCCACCATCGCTGGATTTCAAGTGCAGCAGCCTAAAGCGATCCAAAAGGAGCACCTTCCTGGGGCTGGAAGCTGATTTTGCATGCTGTGACAGCCTGAGGCCCTTTGTGTCCCAGGACAGCCTCCCGCTGAGTGAGGACGAGGGGCCTTACCATCAGGGGCCTCTGGACAGTGACTATTTGAGCTTGCTGTATAACTCTTCCAGCTGTAACCTGTCCATAGCTGATAAGACCCTGTCTGATAAACTGTCTGAGGAAGTAGATGAAATCTGGAATGACCTAGAAAATTACATCAAGAAAAATGAAGACAAAGCTAGAGACCGTCTCCTGGCAGCGTTTCCTGTGAGCAAAGATGACGTGCCCGGCAGGCTGCACGCTGAGAGCACCCCTGAGCTGAGCCGGGATGCGGGGCGTGCCACCTCCACACTCTCCCTCCCCGAGAGCCAGGCTTTCCTCACGCCAGGAAAAAGCAGGGTCCTCAGACCTGGCCAGACCAGCTGCCCAGCGGAGGAAGACCTGATTTCCACAGAAGACTCCTTTCTGAGTCTCAGCCGGTTCTCTGTGGCCAGCGAGATCCCTCCTGTGGACAGTCCGTATGATCTGGTCAGCAGCAGCCCACCCCAGACAGACCCAGAGAACCCTGACCCTGGCGTGGACGGCACGGATAAGACCAAAAGCCGGGTCTTCATGATGGCAAGGCAGTACAGTCAGAAGATCAAGAAGGCAAATCAGCTTTTGAAAGTGAGGGGCCCCGAGTTGGAGCCAGCGCCAGCCAGTCAGCATCAGAAACCTGCAGCCAGGGACTTGGCAGCCATCCTGGAGGAGAAGAGGCAGGGAGGCCCGGCCATTGGTATGTTCGCTCTTCTTTGCTTCCTTCTTGACTGTAAGGTGGGAGAGCAGGTGACCGATTCCCAGTGTCCTTAAAGTGGATGCAGCAGTGAGAACAGTCATTTGAGTGTTCCTGCTTCAAAGGCCACAGACCAAGCCATGGATGGCTTTTCCTACTTGACCGAATTACACAGCTATAGCATGATAGGGCTGCAGAGGATTATGGTATGTGTGTAACACTGTCTCTATGGGGGTGATATATTTTTTAAAGGTTGTAAGAGAACCTAAAGGATGAAAAAAAAGGCTTCAGTTTTAACTTGTGATACCTTGAGCTTTGCTCTGTGTATCAGTAATGTGTTAGGAGGAGGAACGGTTCACGAAACCTTTCCAGGCTTGAAAGCAGACACAATGGCGTTGCTCTTCACTTCCAAATTCCCCCAAGTGCCTACTCCTGCAAACAAAGGCCAAAAAAAAGGTCGTTTTCACATTTTTCTTAGGTGTTTCACACTTTTCTTAGCTGTCCATACAAGTCAGTGGTTTTCTCACATATATTTTGGCTGCTACTCAAGTTTTAAAGTAGCTAGTCATGCATTGAGCAGGGTCTCGTTTGGTCTCCCATCTGTGCTTCCAAGAATCTTAATTCTTGAGTTAGAGCTCCTCTGTGGAGCATAATAACTAAGTCAGGATCTAGGCATGAGGTTGGTAAGGTCAGGGGTCCAGGAATGAGGAGCTTTTGGCTTGACCTTCTTGAAAGACAGAACTCTCTATCTCAGGGGAAGGGCTTAGATGTGAAAAGAACAGATGATTTTCCTGAAAGAGCTGAGGAGCTTTTCGCCTCCAGACCCAGAGAGATTTCTAAAGTGAGGCCCAAGAATCTGCATTTTAAACAATGGGGCCTTTCCCTCATATTTTAAGAAATCCTGCCCTAGATTTTCTGACAAAGGACCACCTCAGAATGAAGACAGGAGTTAATTCCCCAACTGAAAGTAAAAAAAAAAAAAAAAAAAAAAGGCTTTGTATCAGTAGGTTTGGCTGATCAGCTTCGTAGATACACAGCACATTTGGACGTGTTGATGCTACTAACTTGGATATGTTGGTGACACTCACGTCCTTTCTTTGGAATTGACTTACTTATCAATGTGGAAACCAGAAAGGAAGGAGGGACCATCAGAACTCTAGGTGAATGACAATGAGAAGCTGTAGGGTTTTTTGGTTTGGTTTTTTTTTTTAGTTTGGGAGGGTTTTTTTTGGGGGGGGGGTACCAGGAATCGAACTCAGGACCTCGCACTTGCCAGGCAGGCGCTTATGCCACTGAGCTATATCCCCAGCCCTTGAGAGTATTTTTAAATGGTCTAAACTAAAGCTTTAATCTTTAGTAAAATTTCCCATCAGAGAAGTATTAGAATTGATGCACAAAGGAGTTTAAAGACTCTTTACAGGCTTCTTTTTAACAAAATAAAAGTGAGCAGTGGTTTTTGTATGAGTATGACAGGCTGTATCACATACATTTTTCTCCTTATAATAACGCTAAAAGTAATTTATGGCCCTTTCCAGTGCTAGCCGGTTTGTTGTTATACAGTACTTAAAGAAAGTAACTGAGCTCCAGCTGCTGTAGGACTATTTGCGGAGAGCATGGATGGCCTGAGAAATAGTTGTAATTGGCAATTGCAGCCACTGGCTGAGTCTAGGTCAGGGCTTTCTAGAATCAGAGACAATAAAATACCAAGATTTCTGATGATGACAGGCCAGGCCAGCACACGGTTGTCTAAACAGTGATAATGGCTTGGTTGCGTTGTTTGGACTAGGTGACACCCATTCAGAGGCAAAACACTTAATCTTGATTGAAGCAAGCCCTTCTAAGATTTACAACCACCTTGGATAGTCTTTACCTAGCTTTTAAGTATTAATTAATTTCAGATTAGGGTTCTTTTGCTTCTTTTAATTTTGGGGTCTCCTCTTTGTTTTGCCTCCTGGTATCTTCTTGGGATCCCATGGAATCTTTTCTCTGCTTTGCACCTGGGTCCTGTCTTGACATAGTGGGCTACTTCCAAGGTCCTCCCCAACAAAGAGGAGAAGATGCCTCCCGACAGTGCTGTCTTCCCTGGCCATCTGCAGGAGCACATCCCTAGGGTCTGCCATCTATTGGACCTGGCGAATTAGATCCGTGTCTCCTCCATCTGGGTGCTCGAGACCACTTCCTGTGCCCGCCAGGCTTTCTATCAGTTGACATCATGACTCCTTTTCTCTTTCTTGTTTATCTGGGCACAGGACGTCATAATCGAATGGACCGATTCTCCAGACTTCTGCGTATGGGCCTTGCCACTTTGCCAGGAGCTTGCTCTCGGTGTTGTGCGGAAGGAGGAGCGCCCTATTCACCTGCTGAAACTCTCGAGCATCTTTATTGAACTCTCTATCAGGGGTCTACAGGCCCCGGGTCAGATTTCCGACTATAAATCACCCAACCAGGTCCAGTTGCTCCTGCATTCTAGAGCCTGTTGTAGCATGCCAGCCTTCTTGTTCAGTCAGACCTTGCTCCTGGTAGTTTTTCACATCAAGCAGAGACCTTTGGGATCCTGTTTTTTTGATGATATTTCACATGGTAGAAAACTCTGTACAGACTTGAGAAACTTTCCTTGAATAAAATAAGGAAGGCACAATTTTATGCTGTTGACTATATCTCAGGGAACATTTGAAACATTGATTTTAATCTTCTGTCTTGGAAACAGCATGTCTGATATTTCCCTTGGCAGGGCTGCCTTCATATTTTATCTAGAATCGTAAGAACTCCAACTTTCAAACCTTTATAAAGAAAGATAAGCCAGGAGACAGCCCTGAGATTATCATGTAATGACAATGTACATATCCTGTAAAGGCTAAGGACACAGGGAACCTTGAGCCAGCTGGCTGCTACCAAGGTTTTCTGGCAAGAGAAGATGTCTCAGGCTGACTTTCCTCTGTATCTGCCTCAGAGGATCTTGTGTCTCATTCCCACTGGCATCATGCAAGTTACAGGCTCTTTTAGGTGGTCAAAACAAAAGCAAACTTAGATAAGCACAACATATTTTCTACCAGTGAGATACATTTTATTCATAATTGATAAATGGTCAACTCCTTGCTATTAAAGATAAACTCTGCCCACTGTGAATTGTCTATAGGAAGCATTTTAATCTAAAGCAGTCTTCCTGTCTCCCCTTTTACTCCTATGGCCTGATTTCCAGGCTGTTTTTCTATATCCAGTGGCCTGGTCTTGGGAAAAGACTACACCCATTTTTAACCCTATGCTTAAAATAAAATGAAGGGGTAAAAAATATTATCTGGGTAACGAAGTAGTTACGGAGACCAGTTTGTATCTAGGGCTATGGCTGTGCTCTGTAGTGGGTGGAACAAAATATATAACATTGTTCTCCAAGATCAAAAGCTTGGAGACTAGCTGGAATAAACTAGCCTATAAAAAAAGGAAGAGTGGGCTGGGGATTTAGCTCAATGGCATAATGCCCGCCTGACAAGCATGAAGTCCTGAGTTTGATTCCCGGTACCAAAAAGAAAAAGGAAGAGCAACACTGTGTGTGTGTGAGTGTGTGTGTGTGTGTGTGTGTGTGTGTGCATGAGCACTCACGCAAACATGCACCTGCATATTGTACATACATATAAGACTTCATAGGAGGGAAATCAGTTAGCAAAGGATCCAAGGAAGATGAGAATCTTGAGACACGGGTAGGATCTGATTAACCAAGGGAAGTGAAAAGTATAAGAAAGAGGACAAGGGCATTGATAAATACTGCGAATATTTTGGACATGTTTCAGATTAGCTAGGCTAAAATCCAGAATACAAACTAAATTTTTTATTGCATTTTGATAGTAGGATTGTTTGCATTTTGAATTAGTTTTGTTTCCCCCAAACCATCATCATCTTGGAATCTTCTAAAAGATCAGAGCCTTCTTGACTCCCACGGGGTCAGGGCATGAATGTACAGGAGAATGACAGTGTGCAGTGTGTGTCTGACTTGGTCTAAAAGTCCAGCTGCCTTTGGCTGGGTCTCATAGTTAATGAAGCATGACTAGCTTTAGGATGGTGAGCGCAGATACACTGGTATCCAGAGAGACTTTCACTTGCTCTTTCTTCAGGTGGTGCTAAATCTTAGTTGGTACTAAGAGTTTTTGCTCTGCCTTTTGAGGAGTTTCCCATGTTTTGGTTACTAGCAATTTCTAAACTAACATTCTCTGTCCTTGCAAGGAGTTTGGAATTGGAAGCCCAAGGGATCTGAATATAGGCTCTATAATAGATGTCAGATGTTTAATTGCAGGGAACCAAGGGTGAGGGAACAAAGGAATTGCAGTTAAAGGGCACACAGTAACAGCTAGTTGTTTCTGTCATCAAAGAAGAGACTCAGACACCATCAATGGGAAAGAAATGGCAAAAACTAACTATTCACATGCAAAGGATAATTTACTAATAATAGTTACTAACGATATAAATAGTTTGAAGAAACAGAAACAATGTCACTTGCTGGTTATCACAGATGGGATAGATTTCTTTCACAGGGATGATAGAAATGTGATCTGAGCAACTTAAACTCTGCATGGAGTTCTTTGACTCTATGGTGGTATGTGGATGCCCGAACCAGGCAGGGGACCAGCTCTAGAAATGGACATCTGGGCCCCTCCTTTAAATCCTTACCGGCCCAGGACAATGCTCTTTTCATATCATGGTTCAGTTCATATCTTTGGAAGCGGCTGTGCTCAGCAGTACAACAGAACGAAGAACGGCTTTACAGTTTAAGTGGCAAAGCTTTATGGAAGAATGGGAAGCCCTATTCTTGTACAAGTATTACCAATAGACAGAGAGTGTTGAATTATTGCGTATAGGCACAAGTGGCTTATTAATGGCTTGGAGGCATGGGCTTAAGTGCCGCCCCTTTGCAGTGGAAAAGGAAAAGTGAGCTAGTCCAAGTGAGTTAGGGGAGGACCTCCGTAGACATCAGCTCCCCAGACGGTGGCAGTGGAGAGCTGTCTGGAAACCAGAAGTACAAGAACAGACCCCTCTAGAAGTATTTGAGAGCAAAGTAGTTGAGTGGGGAGAAGCCAGGGCTAGCCACTGCATTGTGCACTGTGGTCATACTTCTTCTAGTGACTACTTGAATTATTTTCATTTTCATTTTTATCGTTTATTTTTTATTGACTTGCTTCTTCTAGTACTGGGGATTGAACCCATAGCCTCGCACTTGCTATGCAGGCATTCTAACGTGGAGCTGTATGCCCAGCCAAATTATGTTTTGTTGACTTAGCTTAGGTGCTGACGGTCCTGCTTTTAGGACACCTGTTTCCAGCACGGATGCTGTTTCATGCTTGAAAGTAGCACTAGAAATTTTCATTATAACCCATAGACACTTGCAGACCTGCTATTGAAATACAACCATGCAGAATTCAATTTAATTAAATGAACTTTGTGGTGATGTTTCTAATTTTAATAAACTGTGAGTTATTTTATTAGTTTGTGTTCAGTAATTACTCATCCTCCAACTTCCCTTTAATTAAAGTTCTGTCCACTGTTTAAGGTTTTGTTTTGTTTTGGGTTTTGGGTTTTTAATATATTGATTAGATTCCATGTGTGGTGGTGCATGCCTATAATCCCAGCACTGGGGAGGCAAAGGCAGGAGGATCACCATGAGTTCAAGGCCAGCCTGGGCTACATAGCGAGACCCTGTCTCAGAAAACAAATTGATTAAAATGTTATGTCCTTGTATTTTATCTTGACCTGTAGGAATAATCCTATGTATACTTATTGTTCCACTCTTTGCCTTCCAGGTGCCAGGATTGCTGAGTATTCTCAACTGTATGACCAGATTGTGTTCAGGGAGACACCCCCTAAAATTCAGAAGGATGGCTGGGCCAGCATGCAGGACCCCTCCCCGCTCAGGGCCGCGTCACCTTCCCAGGCCCACCATGGCAGCGAGGACTGGCTTTGGCATTCAACATACAGTAATGGAGAATTAGCAGACTTCTGCCCCCGGCCAGAGAAAGACTTAAGGTCAAAGTATCCCACTTTAGAAACAAGTACAAAAAGTCCTCCTAGACACTTGTCTGCAGCTTGCTCGGTGCCCTCTCTTCAAGTGTGTGAGCCTCTGCTGGGCTCCGCGCAGAGATGCAATGTGGTAGTAAGTCAGCCCCACAAAGAGAGCTGTCAGGGCCACCTTTACAACTCCCTGGGTCGCAAAGGCGTGAGTGCTAAAGCTCAGCCGTACAACAGGTCCCAGTCATCGTCCTCCATCTTGATCAACAAATCGCTGGACTGCATCACCTACCCCAGTGAGCCGGGCAAGCCGCAGCTGCCTCCTGTACACCAGGGTTCCAGGAGTGGGAGCCACCAGGATTTGCTGCCAGGAATTGCTGACGCAGCTCACCAGGGCCCTGAAAAGGGCTCCGACCTCACACTCCAAGACTCACAGAAAGTTCTAGTAGTAAATAAAAATTTACCTTTAAATGCCCAAATAGCGACACAGAACTATTTTTCCAATTTCAAAGAGACTGAAGGAGATGAAGATGACTACGTGGAAATCAAGTCGGAGGAAGATGAGGCAGAGTTGGAGCTGTCTCAGAGTCACAGGAGGAAATCTGTCTCCAAGATGGTGGACACTGACTGTTCGGACAACGTCTGCAGCAACCGCGCATCTTACCCTTTGAATACTCCATGCGCTCCAAAAGAGCCAAGAAGCAGCAAACTTGGGCTTTCACCATATCTGGCAACATATAATGATTCTGACAAACTGAATGACTATCTCTGGCGGGGACCATCACCCAGCCAACAAAATATTGTCCAGTCTCTAAGGGAAAAATTTCAGTGTCTCAGTTCAAGCAGTTTTGCCTAACGTTCTTAACAACAGCTGCTGAATTAACTACTTCTTGTGCTTGTAGATTACAGACACTGTCCTGAGGAGGTGTTTTATTTGTACCAGGTTAAAACAATTTTGTAATAACAGGAGGTGTAAAATATACTTTGTTTTAAAGCACAACTTTTTGAACCAGCTGATCATACAGCCGGGATCTTAGCAAATGTCAGCATTGGAGCATCCTCTCTGATGTCATTTGTCTTCATGTTTCATGTAACTTTATCTTACTTGAAATTTTTTAGGCTTATTTTTTAACATAACTATGATTTTTTCCACATCCTGACAATAGTGTCCACACTTTAAGAAATGCAATAATCCTGTATTACCCAGAAGCCCCAATTAGCTTTATCCTACAATTCAGAGACAGCAAGGAGACCTTCTTCACACGGTGTAAAAAGAAAGAAAACTAAAGCTGCTTAAGGAATTATGCTTATACCTGACATTTTTGTTACATTTATGGCAAGGCCCTGGAATAATTTATGCCAGAGATCTGTAATTGAAAGGTAGTCTCAGTGCCTGTTTTAGGATTTCTAGGCTGGTATTCCTATATCATTTCACTTTGATGTAGAAAGCGTGTGACTATGCAAAATTAAAATGTAGCAAGACCAACTTGCAGTAAACAAAAATGTTACCTGTGTTCCTGGACAAGGCCTGGATTATGTGCTGCTTATCATGTTGTTTATAGGACTTGTGGGGTGAAATGAACTGTTTCCTTCACAGCTTAAAGAAAACCAAGTTCAATAAAACGTAAATTGACTTAACTACTAGAAAAGACAGAGTGACTTCTGGTGACAACTTGATTATCACTCATAATAATTATCACTCAATTGACAGAGGGGGAGAAACAACCCAAAACACCTCACTATTCCATTATGTGCACCCATTTCTAACACAAAGTAAGCCAGAAGCTACAGAAAGACAAAGCACTTTAAAGTTATGCTTCCCAGAGCAGATTTTCATATATACCTTCATGAGTTCTGGACTCTGCCAAAGAACCTACTAGACCCCAGCCCTGGGGAATTACCACAGGAAGGAGAAAAGAATTTTTTTGCTAAATAGTACATACTAGGAGAGCCTTTTTTCATTGTTTTGAGGCATATAAAAGAAGTTTGGGTTACTAGGTTCTGACTAATACCATTTCTACGTCGTCATTACAGTCTTTATAAAGCATTCCTTTGTGGTGTTATATACTAACCTAGCTCTGCATGAAAGGAAACAGAAGACCAAAAGGAAGATGTGAGTAAAAGTGAAGTCAAAGACACTAAAGAGATTATTGAAGGCAGATGATTGCTACTTTATAAAAATGTCCCACGTTATTCAGGACTCCATCAGTACCGCAGGAATATTTCCTCACAGAGCCCTTTGGAGTCTCATGTTAAGCAGTTGTACATTCTATGGCCTTTCCTCACTCCTGTTTCCATTTTACTTTCTTTTCTCTTTGTTCTAATTAAAAACTAACCAGTTTCCATTTTTAAAACTGTGATAATTTGTGTAGGGAAAGGGATCCAGGATTTTCACTGAAAGGTGGGCAATAATATTGAATCTGTGGCATGTTAACCATAATCTTTTCCATCTTTTTAAGCCCTATGCCTTTTTTTTTTTTGACCTGTCAAGCATAAAATGTGACTATATTTTACAAATAGGTACCTAAGACAGTTTTCATTTTAAATAACAAAACAGAGCCCCAATTTTTTATTCTCCAAACTAATCTCTCTTCTCATACTCAGAGGCTAAAGATGTAGCTCAGCGATGGGACACTTCTCTGGCATGCATGGAGCCCTGGGCTCCATCCCCAGCACAGGAAAAAATACATCCATATTGAATAGAATGGTTTTGTAAACATACCTTCTTTTATTGCTTTTAATTCAATATGGTATGAATTGTCAGTATTAAGCAGCATCAAAAAAGACAAGCAACCGTGAGAAAGTGTGTTCATAGACTTGCTAGAGGTGTGTGTAAGTGCGTTTGTATTACTTGTCAAACAAAGTTACCTGACTCTTGTCCAGAAATGTAGTTTCCATCTTCATTTTTTGGTCTGTAAAACCCAAATTCTACATACTCCACATTACTGTTGTATCCGAGTCTCAGAAAGTACTAATTCTTCACACTGGCGGCCCCTTGCACAGACTGTGTTGTCTCCTGTAAACACGCAGCCCATGCACGAAGGTGGACATCTTACTGTACACACTGCCTCTGTGGTCCTTCAGGTTCCAGCACAAATCTGCAGTTTTATAGACCACTTCTCTGGGCCAGGATGCAGATTTTGAGAGCTGTGTGTACGGATATAATCGTGTTCGTCTATGTCCTCAGCTACCATTTAAGTGCTTTTGTTCAAATGAGTTTCTTCTGGAGGGGGGATGGGGATGTATATAATTGAAGGGGAAGTTATACACATAAAAGTTCTCATTGGGTTCCTGTATGAAAGTATCCATTTTTTTTCACATACTCTATTCTTTGTGGGGAAAATGAATCTAGGAAGCATAGTTTAAATACTGTATATAAGATAATGAATGTCAGCAGTACCCATTATTTAATAAAGTTTTTAAAGTACAAAGTGAATTATAGTGTGACTTAATGTACGATCTAGAACATTAAGATTTTCCAGCAGGGCGTGGTAGTGCACACCTGTAATCCCACCATTTGGGAGGCAGAAGTAGGATTGTTAGTTCAAAACCAGCCTGGGCTACGAAGTAAGCTCAAGGCCAGCCCTGAGCTCATAGCAAGACTCTGTCTCAAAAAACCTAAATAAACCTAAATAAATAAATAAATAATAAATAAACAAATAAAATCACTTAAAAAAAAAATAGGCCTGGTGGTGCACACCTGTAATCCCAGTACTCAGAAGGCTGAGGCAGGAAGATCACCACAGATTTGAGACCAACCTGGGCTGTACAGTGAGTTTGAAGCCAGTCCAGACTACATAGCAAGCTCCTGTCTCAAAAAACATAAATAAAACAGATTTTCCAAACTATGTTTATATATTGTCTCACCTTATAAATTATACAGAAAACAGTTCAGGGTAATGATAGTATGCTATGTTCTAGTGGCCCATGACAGACCATTTGTTTTGTGTGTCTTTGGATTACTTTTGAAATACTGAATTTAGCATGTGAGATAGTTTTTGTTTTCTTGATCGGTTAAATTAGATCAATCAGAGTTAACTTTTTTTAAAAAGTTATAAGATATCCCTTTAACTTTCATTATTGAATCAAAAAATTAATGTAAAAATTTTTAGCACAAATTGAGGTTTATTTCCTGTAACTGCACATTTTGAATTTTCTTTGACAGTCAAAAACTCCAGAGAAAACAAAGACATGCTGATATAATTTGATAATCATGAATACTCTCTAAAGCAATTCTATTTCCAAATACAAACATAAAGCCCTATTCCATTATAATGAAAATATAGGTTGCCTGACTTATCTTACACATAGAGAAAAATAGCTTTAAATGTTTTCGTTAGAGTACTTTAGAGTGAAATTTCTAAACTTTACCTTGAGGAGATCTCAGCCAAGACCCTCGGCTAAGAGAGTCCTTTTTTTGATGGTTTGCTGTGTAAGTCATGAGTTCAATTTAGAGACGCCCATAGCTATAGAAAGTCCATGGTCCGTGTAAATCTATTACATAAATTACATCCATAGGAGAAAGGAAAAAAAAATTCTAAAATGCCAGTTGTCTTCTGATGTAAAAAAAAAAAAAAGTTAAATCTCTTAATTTGAAGAGCAAATGTTAATAACGCTTCAAAAATTCTCATGTCCCAAATGCTGCATCACTATCTCCAGCTGGGTTGTAAGAATTATGTCAGTTTTTTCACCCAAAAAGGGATTACAGTGAAAGAAACTGGCCCCACTTGTTTTGCTTTTTTTTTTTTTTGTTTTGGTCTTTTTGAGACAGGGTCTTGCTATACAGTTCAGGCTGGCCTTGTGTTCACTTTGTATTTTTTGCTTCTTTACATGTGTCAATCTGTATTTTACTTTGTATTTTGTCCTGTGGATGAGAGCTGTATAATTGTAAACTTATGAAATTTGAGCATTTGGGTTATAGCATATCTGACAGATCTTCTGCAGGAGATCAAATTTCCCTTTCACAGGAACATTCTAGTAGCTGGGGATATAGCTCAGCAGCACGGTGCCTGCCTGGCAAGCGTGAGGTCGTGAGTTTGATTCCCAGCACACACACAAAAAAAAATTTATAGAAGAATATTCTAAAACTTAGCGTGTGCAACTATTGTCTGATTTGAATCTTGAAGTGGAAATACTTTTACCACCTCTGCATGGTGTCAAGGAATCCCTAAGGGATCCAATATATAATGACTGAATAAACAGAGTTAGAAACTTATTTGAGCCCAAAGCATGAGAAAAACATTCAAATTATAGACACAGGGAGAAAAGTTAGAACAATAGCAAATAAGTTGCTTTTAAAATTTCACAGCACCCTCAGAAATACAATGTCAGGGCCTGGGGTATAGCTCAGTGCTATAGTGCCTGCCTGGCAAGCACAAGGTCCTGAGTTCAATTTCCGACACCAAAAAAAAAAGAAACACAATATCATCTGTCATCTAATTTATACTGCCCTATAGGATAGATCAAGGAAAAGTGGAGTTTTTGTTTTTGTTTTTTTGAGCCAGGGTTTCACTATGTAGTTCAGGCTGGGCTTGAACTCACTATATAGCCCAGACTGGCCTCAAACTCACAGCAATACTCCCACCTCAGACTACTGAATGCTGGGATTATAAACTTGTGCCACCATACCTGGTTAGGAAAGTGGCTTTTTTTTTTTTTTTTTTTTTTTCTGAGACAGGGTCTCACTGTGCAGTTCAGGCTGGCCTTGAGCTTACTTTGTAGCACAGGCTGGCCTCGAACTCACAACAATCCTCCTGCCTCAGCCTCCCAAGTTCCGGGAAGGAAAGTGGCATTTTAAAAAGTCTTTTTTTTTCTTTTCCCCTCTCATGGCTGATAGAATTCTGGAGACACCTACTGAACAGATTCCCAGTAACTTTCAAGCCAAGTCTCCACATGGGTGGGTAAGAGTGGAAATATCAGAGCCTCCTTAGACTTCTGCCAACTGCATTTCCAGATCTTTGCTTCTGAGGCTGTGTGGACAGAATGGAGCATTGTAGAAGCGGGTGTGGGCGTGAGGTCAGGTTAGGGGGAGGGAAAGGGTATAGAACACTGAGCGAAAAGAAAAGCTTCCCTGCTTCAGCATGGTGGTGCCCGCCCGTGAGCAGAGCTCACCGCACGTATCTGTGAAAAGCACCAGAGCACGGCTTCCCTGACTGTGGCTTATTCACAAGCATCCTATCATGGGAAAGGGCCAGAAACACGCAGTTCCACCTCACTGGTCCTGAAACTACTCCGAACACGAAAGGACAGAGCTTGGTTAGTGGTCAGAAGCTCTGCTCCCCGGGGCAGACACAGCCCCCAAAGGTTTCTATAGCAATGCGTGGCTCTCCACCCAGTTCTCACGGGACCATCCAGTAAGACCACGGCGTAAGCAGATTCCTGCTATGGGCCAGATAAGTCGGAGACTGTCAACTACTGGCCCATGGGCTGGAGCTGACCTGTACAAGTTTTAAAAGGTTGAAAATAAAAATCCAAATTTCCAGCTTCTTTAAAAGTAGAGGTGAGGCAGGAGGATCATCATAAGTTTGAGGCCAGCCTGAACTACACAGTGAGACCCTGTGTCAAAAAAAAGAGAGAGAAAATATGTGACCTATTTGAGCCTGGATTCCAGTGAGAACACGGCGAGCTCCAACGAGGGGACCCAAAGGTGAAAATCACCCCTAAAAGTGGTGATTTGCCTTGATGTTTGGGGGAGACTGTTCCTCTGTTTTCCCTTATGGACTTGATCAGCTGATTTAAAGCAACCCTGGAGTGCTCAGACACAGATGCCCTAGATAGAAAGTGAAGGCTATTCTCTTAAGATAAAACGAATGCACACCACAAGAAGTGTGCAGAACACACTGCTGCTCTGGGGGAATTTACCCATGAGCACTCACTTATGAATGTTATGTGCCTGGCCTCCATAGGCTGCAGGATATGAGACAAATTATTTTCCACTCCATTCCTTCACCATTATGGATTCACCTAAGGCTTAAACTACCATTTATACTCTCTTTCTTAAAACCATCTTAGCCCTGACTTCCCTCCCCAGTGCCAGGAAGATCTTTCCCAGGACATTTCCACCTGAGTTGTCCAAAACTGATGTCATTTCCTCCAACGCACTACATTCCCCTGGGCTCCCTCTCTAGGGTGCGCCATCACCTGACCAGACGCAAGCAGCATAAACTCTTCCACCGAGCCTTCCACGGCCTGCCTCTGCCCTGTAGGAGCTGCTCACCACGCTGGCGGTGCTCTTCCTCTGTGTGTCCAGCGCTCGACACACAGCCCAGAAACTACCGCTTAGAACTGTGAAGGGATTTCACCTGCTTCTACGCTAGCAAGTTAGCTTGCCTTGGGTTCACAGACTCTGGCAAGAAAGACACAAGACTCCTAGGTCAGAGATAAAAAGCATGAAGACAGCCCGGCAGGCAGCACGAGCTTCACATCTTCACATTCTGTGCAATACAGTGGGTTTGAGCCAAATCCCAGTGTCAAAGGGCAACCAACAAACCTGTCCTCACATGAACAGCAGCACGGAAGCTTGTGCCATTTGGAATGCAAATCTTTGTGCGAGCTGACTGCTGTCATCTGTTGAACCTCACTCGGTGAAGGTGTTGGCACATGGCTTCTCATCATCCCGCCATACACCACCATTGTGCTGAGTAGCCTCCGTATTTTGGTGGCCAACCTACCCCGAATCCTGGCCTCTCTGTTCTTTGACTTGCTCACCATGACCTTTACCTCCATTCACTTGGGCTACTGAACAAATAATAGAAACTGCTCCTAGCACGCTTCCATCACCAAAGTTTCTTTTTCTGCTCCTCCTCTTCCTCTTGAATTTTTAAAATTATGGCAAAGTGCACAAAACTGACTGTCTCCGCCCTTCAGTGTGCAGTTCCGTGGCGTCAGTCATTACACTGCTGAGCAACCACCGCCCCCACCCTCTCTTGCGCTCTTTCCACCTTGCAAACCCTGAACCCTCTGTGACTGTCGACTCACCCATCTCTTCTTCTGTTTGTTTCATTTTTCGCTACAATGACTTCAGCAAATTTAAGCATAAAAAATTCCTAGAAGAATACATGCTAACTCATAGAGCTGATAGGAATTCCACATACCAGACTCAAAGCAGGCAGGACTGGGAAAAATGAAAGATAAATCTCACACCTCTTTGTCTCTAGCCACTGTAAGTCAGGTTTTGCTGTTGCTTGTAGTGAACATGTATGTAATTAATATACTCTCTGTTATCCTCTTCCTCTCAGTCTCCTTTGTCCCCTTGTCTTTCTCTACTTTCTTGCTAATTGACTGACTGATTGATTGATTGATTGATTGAACTAGAGATTAAACCCAGGGACTTTGCCCTGAGTTATCTCCCAGCCCTTTTATTTTTTAATTTTTGAGATGAGATTGCACTGTGTCATGAAGTTAGTTATCCAGTCTGGGCTTGAACATTTGA